GTTATGGCTAAAATAGCCTATTTTGTTTTTTGTGGCTAAAATAGCCAAAAAAGCCTCCAACCCACCTTCCCAAACGGTGCCTTGTAGTCATTGTGTGTGTGGATCATGAAGAAACAGAGTATGCCCTGTTTGGGAAGTAGCTTTTTTAGTTAAAATAGTCAATAAAAACAAAATATGTTAAAATAATTAATAAGATAAAATATCGCGTTTGAACCATAGTCATTTTAATTTTTTTTTCTTACATCATCAAATCAACTACAATCAACTATCATTTCAAATATAATTTTTTTAATCAAACTAAAATAGCAACAAAAAAAAAAAAGAAAACCAAATTTCCAGGCCATGTGGGGTCCCCAACTCCAACAACTAATATTATTATTAGGGTTGCATACTCATTAAAGAGAGATATCACCAAGTGACGACTCACGATTCAAACTCAGTACGACCTTTTATCTTGCCAATGCAATGATCAATTAATTGATTATTTTCTGGCGTGTTTGGGTTTGTTTTTTTCCTCTAACGGTATTTCTTCTACAGCTGGAAATGTTTTGGTGGGGACAAGAGTAGGTGATCTTTAAAAGTGGAATGAGAATCACATTACTAATAGTAAAATTTGTCCATCGATGCTAGTTGAGTGTTTGATTTCATTAAGAATTTTCCAATGAAAACTATAATAAAATTGAAAATATTGTGGGTTTAATTGTCTTTTCTCTTGAATAGTTAACATTTCTCTTGAAATGTGAAATTTCCATGGAGATTAGGAGAATCGGACTATTACTATTTAATTTGGAAATATAATTCCTACTAAAATAGATCATAAGTAATCACTTTTTCATTTTAATCAGTTTCAAACGCTAGAATCATAAGACCTGAAATCATGTTCTCATTCTCCTCAAGATTACCATCATTAAGTTCATCCTATGCATAATCCTACAATATACCAATTCAATATGAGCCACACTTTTTCTAGGTAACTAGGTTTACTACATGATTTTTTAGCCCACAAATTTGGGCTTAATTAATTTTACAAGTATGTATAATATTCTGTCGTCCCACATATACTCTCTCACAAAACTCAAAGTCTCACATTTTCACCAATATGAAAATAATTTATTCTCTCACATAGCTTAAGATCTCACCTTTTCACAGTATAAAAAGATAAATCATGATACAATATCTTCCACGAATCATACAAAAATTTGTATAAGATAAAAAAATAAAAAGCAACAAATCTCACTACTGTTATTTAATTAGTAAATTGTCTAACTAGGTAAATTAGGTCATCATCTACCCTAAGAACACAATAAACTATGTGAATTGGAGTGAAGAGGTAAATTGCTTTGTTGATGGCCAGGAATGTTGGATAATTTTTAGTGGTGCGGAAGGTGGTGAATTTGAGGATTTGATGAGTAAGAAATTATTTTTATGTTGTTCTCAATGAGTATGTCTAAAAGAAGAGTGAAGACAGTGAAAGTGTTTAGTGCATCTGTTAAAATAGATTATACATTTTAACTTGACAAATTGTAAATTATAACTTTAATTAAAAGTTGTTAATTTGTTTAATATAACTACTAAATTATAAATTTAAATATTGAATTGTGTTTGGTAAATAAGTTATGAAATAACTTTTGAGTGGTGCTATTAGCATTCCATGAATTATTTTGGACCTTTCATTTCTTTGGGCCCCCACTTATAAATTTTGAAACCCTCAAAAAAAAAATTTCTGTCTCAAGTAATACCAAAATTATTCTTTTTTACCAATTGAATGCACATTTTCCACACCCCCACACCCCAAAAAAACTCATCTTCTAAAAAACCTTAACAAAACCTACAAAGAAGAAAAAGAGTCAATGTAATTACTGTCTCTGCTATCTCATCCACTATTGTCACAGTTGGTATGCTCTCTCTCTCTCTCTCTCTATATATATATATACATAATTTCTTAGTTTTCTCGTAATAATTTCTTCTCCTGTAAGAAAAAAAAATTATAATAATTGGTTTAATTGGTTTTGTTGGTAGATTTTATAAAATTGTGAGCTCAGCAAAGAACTACACAGCAATATTATCAAAGCTATGCATGAAGGAATAACTTTTGAACTTGGTAATAGATTTGGGCTACTTCTGATAACTTCTACAAGTGTTAATTTTTGACTATTTAATGTGTTAAGAAATTTCAATGTTCGGGCTCGTATTCCCGAACTTGAAATAATGAAAACTTCTGCAAGTATTAATAATTTTGACCGTTCAATATGTTAAGAAATTTTCATATTTGAACCTGCATTCCCGAACATTACTTATTACCGAACAAATAAGTAATGTTCGGGACCTGTATTCCCGAATTTAAAAAAATAAAAACTTCTGTAAACGTTAACAATTTTGACTGTTCAATGTGTTAAGAAATTTTCATATTCTGACCTGCATTCCCAAACATTACTTATTCGTTCGGGAATGCCTTTCCGAACAAATAAACAATATTCGGGCCTATATTCCCGAATTTCAATCATATGTTTGGGAGTTCGATCCTGAAAAAATGACGAACATATTTTATTAATTTTATCATTTTTTTAAAAGAAATTTACCTTTATAAGACCAATTTCCTTTGAACTAAGAACAACCTCAAAGTTATGAACCTCTTCTAGGCCCCGTTTGTTTGGGGTTATAGGAAGGGGATTGGGATTGATAGTGAGGTTGGACTACTATATGGGGTGTTTGTTTTGAGAGATGAGGAGGAGACTCCTAATCCCTTGGTATTAAGAATGGCAGCAGGGCAGGGCGGGGCCGGGGATCTCACTCCCCGTCCCCAATCCCCGATGGCCAATACTTTCCCGTCCCCGGCCCGATCTCGACGGGAAACCTATCATGGTCCCCCGTCCCCGCCCCCAACGGGGATCGGGTTTCCTCGACCCCGAAAGTTCCTCGATCCAAATCCGTTTCAACATTCAACACACAAACATACTCACATGTATACATTCAACACAGAGACATTCAACAACATTCAACAAATACATACATACATACATACTCACATGTATACATTCACAAGCACACACATACATTATACATACACACAGAGACATACACATACATGTATACACAGAGAGAGAGGACGACGGAGGGGATCGGCGTAGATCAGCTGATTGGCGACGACGAACGGCTGATTGGCGACGACGAACGGCTGATTGGCGTAGATCGGATGAGATCAACATAGATCTGAGAGAGGGCAGCGATGGAGGTAGAGCGAACGGCGGAGTCAACGGAGGTGAAGGCTGCGCTGAGGAGACGACGACAAGGTGGACAGCCACTCTGGCGTCGCGGACAGTGACGGCTGCATTGAGGAGGCGGAGAGGAGAGATGCGATACAAGAGTGAGAGAGAGGAGAGGTGCGAGAGTGAGAGAGTGTAGAGAGAGTGAGAGAGAGAGAGAGACAGAACAGAATAGTTGAGGGTTATATATTAACTATTAAGGGGCATATATAATAAGTTTGATTCGGGGGGCTAACGGGGACGGGGTCGGGGCTGGGGACGGGCCGGGGTCGGGGGTGAAAAATATATCACCGTCCCCGGCCCGAAAATCATCAGAGATTTATTTTTGAGTATCATCCCCGGCCCGTGGGGATATTTTTTGGAAAAAAACCGTTCTAATTGGAGTCGGGGGGTCGGGTTCTCGTCGAGCCGATTTCAAATTGCCATCCCTAGACGAAGGAGCTGAAAAATCGCCGTTGAATTGACGATGGCGATACCGACTCTTGATTCTAAAATCATGCTTTAGCTCATAAACGCAACTCTAGTGTTGGTTATGATATAATAAGAAAGAAAAATCCCTAAATGCCTCAATAAAGCACTTTTTTATTTGTTTTATTATTTTATATAAAAATAATTTAACAATTCCTATACTAACAACTATCATCAAAACAAATATAATTTTACTTAATCCTCTCACTAACAATCTCATCCATTCTACCTCAGAAAACAAACGGGACCCTAAGTTTTTATTGTTGTACTCCTCTCGTTTTATGAAGTTGTGGTTATTAGAAAAACTTTCACTCATTGTCATTGTCGGAGAAATATAGGCAGTCAAATGGTTGCCACTGTTACCGCCGAAATATTACTACCAAAGAGGTTTTCAAGTTTTGAGGGTGGGTAAATTTTGAAAGTGAGATGTGAAAAAGATGGATGTATAGTGATGGAGATGGATGCTCTTATGAATCCTAATTCATGATTTAATAAGTGCGCAAATTTAATTGTAAGATGGACTGTCTTAAAATTAATAATGTTCTTTTTAGTAATTTTATTTGAGATTATTATTGTAATAAAAAAAGTTAACAATTGGAAAGTCCAAACTAATTTATACGGTTCTAACAACAGTGCTAACTTTTTGATATGTAAATATCTTTTTTATCCCTCCTAATTGTAAATTAAATTAACCTTTGTTAGTTGTAAATTGAACTAAACTTTTATTTTTTTTGTTATTCATTACTAGCCCACATTTCTCATTAAATAAAAAATAAAAAATTAATCCACAATCTATTTGGGTCTTTTTCTATTTTTATTTTTTATTTTTTTTAAAAAAAAATTCTAAATGTATAATCGTAAATTAACATACCAAAAACACAAGCTGATAATCAAAAGCAAAAGCAAGGGGTAGACAGTTTCTAAAATTAATTTTTTTGGATTAAAATAAATTATTAGAATCAGAAATTGTTTGAAATAAATTTAACCAAATAACACAAAATAACTTTTCCAAAGCTAGAGAATCTATAAGACCGCCAAAAAAAGCCACACCAAACACCCCTAGTAATGAGTAGAAGAAATCTAAATAACACAAACCAATCACAAAATTGGATATGAACAGACAAGATTTTTTGTAAGTGGATACTACCAATAAATCCAGTAATATCTTTGTCATTGATGTTTATTTTGTAGTCCTTTTTGAGTTTGAATTTTATGAACTTGTTGGATATATTAAAGCAATGCATATCACACAATTGACAAGAGATCCCATATGAAAAACAAGTAAAATTTTCCATCTATGACATGATGTATATATAAACCTTAATCTGAGACAATTACTGAAGGGAAGAGGAAGGGGAATCAAACAAAGAAATACACGTGCAATTTCATCCTGAAGCACTACATAAAAACAATGTATTCAAACATGCATACATGTAATAACACAATTATACCTTGATCTCTCAATTGGTTTAAGACCCAGAGTAATCTGATCCACAGTGGATCACCGACCAGAAAATGTTGCTTGCTTGCTTGCTGCTGACAATATGCTGCACAGAATTAAATTCTGAGAAAAAGTCCGAATATTTAAGTAAAAGGGGATCTTTGTAATTCCAAAACAAACAATATAATTCCATTAAGTTTCAATTTTGCATGGCATTTAAACAAAGATATCCCAAGATTAGGGCTTCAAGAACTGACTGACGGTTTGTCATAAACTCAGTTTTCTGCAATGACACCACTGTGTTTGCACATGTTTAAGCAAATTTCTAAACAGAATTTTTTCATGCCAAATGATGTTGCGCATACAGCTACACTCATTTTAAAAATAAGGTCTGATAAAAAAGAAAAACCTTGCTGCAATGTTATTCGCAGTTCTGTTTGTATAACATTTCTTCTTTATTAAAAATCCAATTTAAATAGAAAATTTTCATGATCGAATGCATTCATCTGACTTGTTAAGGATGTTAAATGCTCCCTCACCTTAAGGATGCTCTCAATCACTGTAGGTGCTCAGGGCAGCAACAACAGATCCCGTTGTCTCAAAAGTTGATGCCACGTCAGGATAATCTTTCCACGATGTGGTGACCTTGAGAGATGGATACAACCAACTTTTCACGGAATCCACAAAGGAATTTGGATCAGAGTTCAGAATTGCTTCCCAATCCACCTGAAAACCTTCAGGGATGCTCCCAGTGAACTCCATATTAGCAGCAAGAAGTAATCCAAGCAAAACTACAAACCCCACGGCAGCAGAGCCTCTGGAAAGTGGCATAAAATTGTACCTGAAAAGGATTACAACTTCGTTTATGCAAAGAACCTAAATATATTGCCTAGAGAACAAAAGATTTTCACGAAATAAAAATCACATGTTTACCAATAATAAGTCATCCTCAAGATTGCATCTCTCACATTTTCGAGCAAACTGAAATCTGAAGACCCATATGTCTCACCACAATAAGCATTGCAAAGAGCCTGCATTTCCACAGGTGGGTACATTCAAATGTCAAGTTAGATTCAGTTCTTGCACATTCAAAATTGGGTATTATTACACTTTTATTATGTTAATTCCCTCAAGTTGTGCTTAGTTATGTATTTAATAAAATAATTTTATTTTTGTAGGAAAGCTTGGCAATTAAGATGATGATCAAGGAATATAGTCTATGGTGGGCCCTGAAGCAGCGCGCACAGAATGGTAACCCAGATTAATACACGAGTTGTATGACTTAGCAGCAAAAGCAAAGCTTGGCCAAGTGTTGATTGAGTAATCAATAAAAAGAGGATTGAATCTTGTGCCTCACGCGCATTAAGTGCAGTGTGATGTAATTCAGCAAGACAAAATAATGCCTGACATTACAAATGCTCCAGTGGTTTGGCTGCACAACACCAGTCATCTGGCAAATCCTAAATCATACAGAATATGGATTTCTCTTTCTTATTATGCTAGTTTTTAAAATTGTCCTTGTATTATAAATACCTATAAAAGTCATTATTGGGATCATCCTTCATCATATATTATTTTTCAATATGTAGAGTTTTTGTTCCATGGAGTTCTAAGCTTCTTGCTAAGACTAGTGGTGACACTCCAATGGTTCCTTTGTAAGTATTCCTATGATTCAATAATGGTTTTTAATGCAAGATTATTTTGATTCATTGATTTAATTATTTTTTAGAAAAAAAGAGTGTTCTGTATAATTCCTTACTCTATCATAGACCTTGGGCATAGAAGAAGTTTGAAATTCCCTGTGAATCAAAATACCAGTTTTTTGTTTTTTATTGTGGCATGAGATCAACTAATCAAAATAATCAATCTTTTTATTTTTATTTTTATGATATGATACTCTTTTTATCTACCAATTGAGAATACCCATTGTGTATGTCTCAATTGAGTTACAAATTAAATCTATAATATTTCAAAGGAAACATCAGTGGGTGATCCATTATGCCTCAGTGTCTTCTTGATATTATTTTTCTATCTTTATTTTTAGCTACTTAAGGGGCTGTTTGGGGTGTCCTAAATAAGTGCACTTTTTGTCTTTTTGGCCTAAAAAGTTGAGGGAAAAAATATGGATGTTTGGATCAACTTTTTGACTTTTTATGAAAAAATGTGTAATAAAAAATTGTAAAAATTAGTTTGTAGGGGAAAATTAGTAGTGGGAGTTGTGCAGCCGTAATTGTTGACTTTTGGTGAATAGTGATAACTTTTTAACTTTTTGAGTAACTTTTTGACTTTTTTTAGACTTCCCAAACTTGGCCTAAATCTCTCAAACTCATTCAAATGAATACAACCAATTATTTATTTTCTTTTATTTCTCAGTTACTGCAATTGAATACACTGATCCCTCCCTGTGGATTCAAGACATCTGTTGGACTTATTTCAAGCCTTGGGTAATCTGCTTGACTAGTTCTGAAAGTAACATGAATTTAATAGTAGTATAAACAACCCTAGGCATGGTTGATATTCATATCTTATTTTTCATCTAACCTTGAAGTTGTTGGTTCGAACTTGAGGGCAACCACTTTGTACAAATTATGCCAAATGTTAGATCTATACCCATTTTCCCCCTCCCAGGCCTCCATCCAATGGGGACTAACTTGGGCGTACATTTTTTACCAATGCTTCTTACCGGTTTGACATGGTGTATAGCAAGTGCATAAAATACATCCAGGTGAGGTCAATAAATGACTCAAGTGGAAACATTCACAGCTTGGATTTCAGTCTTATTAAGTAAATTGATTAAATAAAGAGCCATCAGCTCAAGTATGAGTCTAGAGTGACTTACTTCCCATGCCCCTGCCATTTCTGCATCAAACCCTTCCCATCTGGAAGGTGTACAAGGTGTTCTAATGGCGAAATCAAAACCATGTTCTCCCCTGGAAGAATCGTACGATGAATCTAAATCAGTAAACAATTAGAAAAATGATCCGTAATCAATATAAAGGGAATAAAGAAATAATAAAAAAAATTGGAACCAGCTATGTTTTGAAATATATAAATTACATTTTCACAAGAGTGATCCTCGTTCCTTCAAGATGTCTCCTAAAAACAAGGCAAATGATAAAAAACTTGAGTCAAGTCAACGAATTACAACCACTTAAGATATTATGTTTATCTAATAACTAGCAAGCTCATCAAAACATGATAGTATAAGCAATGAAAGGACTACAAACTCTTAAGTCATGATTACCCCTCGAATACTGTACTGTCACACCACGTTGCCAACCAGAAGTCCTCACCGACAACTCTGTAAAGATCGGAGCAGGATTCCGCTTTCATAATCTGCAGGTTATATTTAAAAAGAAAATAATCATAGATAAGTATTTTTATTTGTAGAAGTGGAAGAACTATAAGGTAATTGTTGAATAACTTGATATACATTGTTGGGCCTATTTTTCAACATCTTAAGCTTTTGTGACAATTAGTGGTCTAACATGATATCAAAGCAGAGCTCAAGTTGGGGGATATCTTGGGTACAAATCTCTCTGTTTGTATTTGTTTTGCATTTGCATTTTGCTTCTCTATATGCAGTATATTTGCATCTCCATGTGCAGGAGGGGATTGCATGTGAGGGAGGGTGTTGGATAACTTGACATGTATTGTTGGACCCATTTTCCAACAACTAAAGCTTTTGGGACAAAAAAAGTGGTGATCTACAACTAATCAGAAGTTTGCATCATCAGACAACAGGGAAACAAACAATCCACTAATTTAGCATCCTGTTTTACTGTTTTAGTAAGTGAAGGCTTTTCATTAAAAAGTGCCAAGGGGTAAGCAACTCGATTATTAAAAAATAAATAAAAATACACTCTGCAGAGGAATCAACCGGTCATGTAACTCAACAAAACAGTGCTCCAATAAACTGACATTCCAACATAAAAGTAGACACCATGCACAATTAGTTTCTAATTTTTGGAGTGGTGTGTGGGTCGGACTTCTTTAACCGTTGGTGTGGCTGAAGAACATAAAGTAGGCTCTCCCACTCCATCAAAAGACCATTGATTCCACTCCAAACACACCAGATCAAACACAAAAGGGAAGGAAAGCCTCCCTCACTTTCTTCCTCCACCTTGGCACCCGTGCCTCTCTCCAACTACAAAGCCAATCAGCCACTGTATGATGGAACACTGCTTCAGACTAACCAATTCTTGTATCAGGCAGTCAACCATGAAACTCATGTCCCAGACAAAATAAATGTACCTTCAAAAGAATTAAAGACCACACAACTTTATAGGCCTGCAAGACCTCACAACTACTCTTAAGTAAATCAAAGCACTACCAGCTACAACTAGCCCACCACCACATCATCGCTTCCATCTACACTCCTATGGATGGAATTCTGAAAAGATTTAACACCACTACCAACTCCCGACATGAAAACACCTTGTAAAGAAAGAACTTCAATACATTACATGTCCTGACCATCACATAATTCTCCGCTCAGAAAACTATATGCACTGCTATGCCAAACAAATCAGAATATTCTTCCATTACAAGGACCAAAATACCACACTAAATAAACTTTTAAATCTATTAATTGTCCACCCCAGGGCTTTCATTATAGCCTTAAAATATTTACCGCATAGCTTCCCTAAGCTCACTAGAGATGGCAACACTCAAGTTTAAGAAGGGATGTCCTCCCTAACCCCGCCCAAAGAATGGAGTATCCCTTTCCAAACCCACATCAGGGTGAGATGGCGAAATTTTAAAATGGGGCAACTTTCCTGGCAGTTTTTCAAAAATTTAAAACAATAACATTGATTATTTCTTTACCTAAAGAAATAAAGATCAAAATATTTAGGGAAAATCACAAAAACACCCTTTCCAGTTGCAGACAGTTAAAGGGGCTTGCCTTAAATTTCGGTAACAACAATAGTCAATTTAAGGGACCCTTTAAACATTAAAATATAGTTCAAAGAGAGTTGAATTTAAAAAATGATGTTTCACTAATACTCATCTGTTGTGAAGCAAGACAATGAATCTTATGGTAGAAACTAGCCTATTGGCCTATGGCCCCATTTTCATCAAATGGCAACCAGTGTAGAAATAAGAGTAATGCCCTCATGCAGTTCAAAAAGCAACAATGAAAGTAATATAACTCACATCTTGCAATTTTCCATCTTCGGATAGATCAATGACATTGTCTTCCTTGTTGAACACATGCATTTTTTCCTTAATGACAGCCTTTGCAACATCTAATGTTCTGCAGCATTGGGCCATTGACAAATAATGATTTATTTATTTTTTTTAGTCAAGTTTCAGAATAAAATAAGGGTATGCTGCTCACCTTTGAAAATTTGGGAAGTAGCGAACAACTTTCGCTTGCCCTAGAATAAGTGGTGTGTGAGACCCAAATCCTGAGTTGAACTCCTCACTGAATTGAAGAAATGCCCACATTGACATCAGCAATCAACACGAGCAACAGTAAGACTTCTATTTTGAAGAATTCAAAAGATAAAAACAACAGATAAAACTACTCCACAAGGGGGCAGAGAATGACCAGGGAATCATACTCTAGGGAGAACTGGGCAAGAGAATGCCCAGGGTTTTCTCAAGTAATCAAAAAATATAAAACCCAAAAGAAAAAGGATGCCGGTATTGCCAGCACAATTCTAGCTTTTGCCAGAGCAATGGATAATTATTTAGAGCATTGAATGGCTGTATATTGCTGTGGCAAAGGAGCAAAGGGCACAGCTACTTTAGCCAGTGCTTCCATGACAATAAAGCTACACAGAAAAAGAACTCTTTTATTTGGGTCAGGTTCAATAATGAACAAAATCTAGAAGGATTACCTTAACTTGTTGACCCACACAACTGGGTCACAAGGTTCAGAGATCTGTCTCCATTTTACAGCCAACGAATAAAGATCATGCCACGATTTCATATGACGACCCGAAGATCTATCTTCTGTAATGCCATACGAAGTTGATGTTTCCAAGGAACTGCTGGTACAACAACCAGAACCACCTCTATTCTGGCTGGGAATATTGATTTTTTCCTTTCTCCGGGCATTCTTGCCATATTTTGATGTGTTTTTATTAGAATATTGCAAAGAACGCCATGCCTTAGAGACCTTTTGTGCAATCTCAATAGCAGCAAATCCCGCCATACGATGCTGGTAAACATCAAATTAGATATGTCATCAATAAATACAGTCCAACTAAAAAAAAAAAACAGCACAATGAAATATTACTGCATTGCTGTGTCCATTTTAGCCTTCGACCCAAAGGCATTATCACAAATTTTCATCTTTTTGTGCTAATACTGAAAACCGTTTAAAAATAGAGTTGTATGTCCTTTATATGTTGAAAAAACATTTGCATCATCCATAAATTTAAAAGAAGATAACAAAAATATCCAACTTCTAAGGATACAGAAAGCTTACTTAAATGAAGCATATAATTGCATAGATGTGCTTGCTCTCTAGTTTTGTGCTTTTGAAGTTTCTTACTACATCATTGAAGGATCTTAAATTACCATCACACTAAAGAAGGAATTTTTATTTATTTGACCATTCTAGAAGAAAGGGGAGGTATGGGGGGAGCTGTAAAGGGGAACAGGATGTAGAACTATGAAGGGGAAGTTGAAAGGTTTTTTGCCCTGCTGCTGTGTGTAAACTGGGCGCATTTTAGAATCATAATGTAAGATTGTTCATTTAAGGGGAAATTTTTTCTACATGGAAACAGTCTCGATGAAGAAGTGGATAATCAAAATGAGGTGAGAAGCCTAAAATAATATGAGAAAGTTCCATAACAATTAATGTCAAGATGCCAATTCAATTCTACTTTGAGGAGTTGCTTGGATGGAAACTTCATTTGGCATTAGTCTTCCCTACGCACAAACACTGATTAAGTTTCCAACTCAAACAAGTTGAGAAACTAATCCAAATGAAATAATGTCTACCTTGACTTTCTAAATTTCAATCTACGAGTTTGGTTACATGGTCTCTGGCAAATTAGACCAAGGTATCCATGTTGAAACAACATGACACAGGTGTGGATATGGGACACGCCTCAACACAGTTGTACCCTAGCCTGGTTGATAGAAGAAGACGACGATGATGAGAAGAGACGGAGAAAAAATACAATTCTTTTCATGAGATCTAATGTCGTAGAGCCTAGATCTGCTGCTATAGAGCCAACAAATATGCTGTTGTAGCTCGCCAAATGAGACGGTCGTTAGGATTTGATCTGGTTCAATGACTAAAGGAAGATCAAACCTGTTTGTATATAGGGTAAATTACAGTGGCCTACTGAAATTGACTTGTGACACTAAACCCCCTGGAGTCAATATCAAAGTGAAAAAATGAATGGACAAACGAAACTCTCTTATTTCTCCTCTTATCCTATCTCCTCTCTTTTATCTTTCCTCTCTCATCCCACCACCCAAAACCACCATCACCCTCCACCACTACCAATCACCTCATCCATCACCACCAATCCCCAAAATCACCACAACCACCCACCACCACCAACCACTGTGACCTATCACCACTCTTCTCCCATATATTCAATACAAGATTTCATACCCAAAGATCTGAACCTAGAAAATGATTTGCTTGTATTTTTATATCCTTATTACTATACCAACTACTATCACCCCATAGATGAATGATTTAATCAGCAATGCACAATTTCCAATGTTCATATCCCTGTTGCAGCCCCTCCCTCACCCTTCTCACCACAAAATACTCGCATACAGTCACACCTTCAGTTGCAAAATTATCTCGCTTGCAATCTTGAATTCCACATTTTGACCCATGCTACCCATTAGTTGCCCAAAAAATGAGCAATCATCAAAGCAATAATCATCAAAGATGAACCCACCGAATTGGTTCAAGTTGTTCTCATTGATGCAGGTGTAGAACTACTTAATTGTATTAGATGGAGAAAGCAGATTAGAATAGAGAGACTCCCTTCCTTCTCCCCACCCCTAGGCTAAAGGGAAAAATATTTAATTTTTAAAATTTTAATAATTCAATATTAAACTTAAAAATCAAATTTTCATGTGTTAGGCAAACACAATGTTGTTAATTTAGATGGAAAATTGCATTTTTATAGTTTGGTATTGACCCATGGGGGTTTAGTGTCACAAATCAAACTTTAGGGGGCATTGTGTTTTTTGGCCTAATCCTAGGGGCAAAGTGTAATTTACCATTTTATATAATTGCTAGAGATTGCCAATAAAGAGCCTCACACTTCAAAGAATTTCCTAGTTAAAATTAATTTTGAGCCCCTCATAATTTAATCAAGGACCTAAATAAATAATTAAGCTATTTAAAACAATTTCCAACTTAGCAAAAAGATTTGCAAATTCACCCTTCCTCTAAAATTCTTTTTCTTGTCATTAATACCCATACCCACTTTAAGACAATTCAACACTAATATTTGTGTCCCCATGTCATAAATTTGGAAACTTGGGGGATTACAAAGACACAAACTCATACTCAAAACCATACACGAGCCCATGTAAGAATAACTCAATGAATCTAACATTTTAATAGATCTCGACAACAAAAATATGCTATTAGTGATTGTTTGATTCAATTCATTAATCAAATTGATACTGTTCCATATTCTACTTGTGATCCCAAACTGAGAGGGGGGATCACCAGAGCCGGAAATCAATCACTTTCCACAAGTTGATATTGAAGGTAAAGTTTCAGACATGTTTAAAACTAAGTGAAGGTATGAATATATATTTCAAGAAGATGACATGTTAATTATGGCGAACGTCCAAAAACAAAGAAACAAAAGAATATATCATGAGAATGAATGGAAGGCAAGAAATGATAAACTATAAGAAATACTGATTTTTTTTGTTCTAAACATAAATCACCTGACGCCTACTGGGCAAGAAGCCAAGGCAACTATATTGAATCTTCTTGCCAATAGAGTCTGCAGCCCGTGTGAGAGCAGTCTTCTGCTTTGTGACAGCAAAATCTTGCTTTCTTAGCTTATTACCCTTCTTCAGAGAATCGCGCAAGGTTGGTTGCCTATAAACCTTTTCACAGACATTTTTGGGGTGCAGCCTTTTGCACCAATACTCCTGGGAAACAAAACAAAAAAAAAAAAATCATAAAATAGATGCAATAAGGGCACACACCATCAACTTTTACATCTTGTGAACTCTTTCATACAAGATCATGTGGAATGTCTTAGATAATGAAATCTCAGACACATACACTTCAAATCCATGGAGAAGAAGAATATTCAACCCTGCTTCTCTACTCATAGAAAGGTTAAAAGACTACATAATTAGGGCCGCAAACGAACCAAACTATTCATAAACAGTTCGAAGCTTGGCTCGTTTACAACTCGTTCAAACTCATTTATTTATTAAACGAACCAAGCTAGAGCCTAACAAACGAGCTCAATTTGAGATAAGCGCCACTCGATTAGGTTCGACTCATTTATATTAATTATTAATATTATACATATTTTTTATTTTTTTATTATTTAATATATATAACTTCATATATGGTCAACCAATCTTTATAGAGAACTAGAGGATGCCCAATGTCAACCAAGCAAAGTTTTCAAAGGCTTTACTGAGGCTAGCCTCGATGCTCACCTCGCCTCGAGGCTAAGGTAAAACGCATCGAGATTTTGATTTTTAGGCTACTAGCCCTAAAGGCTAGCGCATCACAATCTAAGGCATGCACCTTAGGTGCGCCTTGTATGCCTTTTGTGCACAAGCCTATGACAAGTATGCATATGAATAGGTTGCCTTAGACTCTTGTTAAACTTAGTCTAGTAGATAGTTTAAACATCAAAAAGCCAAAAATATAAAAGAACCCCTTTTTGTGACTATATTCTATAGAAAAAATTAAGTATCTTTTATATATTGTTTTCCAAGATATGATCTATTCCTATCCTCCACTGCTCTCACTGACAACAAGAAAGAGGATTGACCCTTCCCCATGTCAGTCCAGTTAGAAGGGGAGGGCCCACTGATCAATCGATCTATGTTTCCTGTCAATTCGCTAAGTAGACTCACTCTGCCGAACAATATTTAAATTTATTATTTGCAGCACAGCTCAAAGGAGTAAAAAACAAAACAAAACAAAACACAAAATGGAAATGTAACTTCTGCTCTAACACTGAAGCATTAGTAGTAAGCAGACATAGACAGAGAAATAAAAGATCAAATTAGTAACATACAGAAGTATAATCTTCATCACATATTACCTTAAATAGGGGATTAATATCTCCATCAATATCAAACCAACAGAATTCACTATTGATCTTTGAAGCAGTATATAGAGCAATTTCTTTCTGCAAGAGAAGGTCATAAAAGTATGAAAAACAGAAGAAATAATAACTGTAAACCTTACAGAATAAGCTATGGTTTACAAAATCAATAATTAGATAAAAAGTAACCAATATTGCTATGAAAAATGAAAGATTTAGATTATTTCATTCAATTTACATAGAAAGCACAAATTACAAAATTAAAAGTTTACAAATATGAGTTCATATCGCATTTGTATAACAAGTTATGTATACACATAAACAGTCATCACACATACAATAAAGATATATGTATGTGTATGTGCAGAAAACTTGGCGCTTCTATAGTGCCTATATATATGTCCAAATGTGGATAATAGTGGTTGGCTGGTGAGTGTCAACTAAGTATGGTAGAACATGTAAGATTCCACTTAATCAATAAAGACAAACCAGGTGAAAGCTAAGGCAGCCTGAGAGAGAGAAGAGAGAGAAAGAGTAGTGAAGAACCACCAATGAAGGTGTGGAGAAGAACCAGAACCTTTAGGCAGGAGAATATTGCTTAGAGATAAAGGAGATCGAGACCTAAATATATACAGTTTTAAAGTGGGGTTAGCCTTGTAAAGGCCAGCTGGAGGCATGTATCAGAAGCAAATGCCCGAGCCCATACAAGGTATAGATGGTTTCCTTTACTTAGCCTCACTACTTTAGTAACACAGCTTCAACTAGTGGTGGTCCCAGTGGAGTCAGCCTACAAAGAGAATGGGTGAACTCAAATTTGGGGCCATATGGAGCATATGGAGGATGCAATGTAGAAAAAGTAACAGCCAGAAAAAAATATGTATATATACAGGTTATACGTACATAATATGCCACATGCACCATGAGAGAGGTGACTTATCAAGTTACAAACTTACAATTGTTACTGCATGTTTGTTAAATCTATAAGAGGATCACTGGGATGAGTAAGAATTGACCAAAATGAATTGCGGATCAAAGGTTTCTCTGTAGATGTGGGTTCCATAAGGAAATAATCAGCCTATAGAGGAGCCTAAGGTAAATGATAACTTTTAAGCACTAAATACCATAACCATGTGATGTAGCATAGCAGGCAAAGTAGAAGAAAAGTAAGGCAAAGAGAAGAAGAAGAAGTATAGGGAAGGGGAGACGGGCAACCAATCCCAAACAACATATCAATTCTTCAATATTCAAGCCTAGCCACAGGGCTTACTCATAGGTATCCTAGGAAATCCCAATTAAAGTCACCAATAAAAAAAACACAACAACAATTAAATATTAATAAAACCTAATAAATAAAATTAGAAGATAATGCCAAATAAATTAATAAATCTCTAGTCTTCAATTTAACTTCATCCATGCCTCCACCTTTCCCATCACCATGATTGCAAGCACGCTAAGGCATATGCCAAGTTTTAGGAACTAAGTATCAGAGCCGATTGCAAGCACATGATAGAGATAGAAGAAAACTCCCATAACAATGCCTCATATGTCTTACTCTTTTAAATACAACAAGTCAAATATCAAATCGGACCTGATAGAAGGCCAGGCACTGAAGCACAAATTTTTCCATCGAGTCTAGTTCCAAATCCAGAGCAGCGTCATAATCCTTCACCTTTATCATAAAATCAAATTTCAGTAAATCAAAGCAAAGAAGAATTACACATGACACCCAGTATTTAAACAGGAAAACAAAGAAAAAGAATTCCCCAATACCGCTTCTCTATATTCTCCAATAGCATGGTGGCAAGAAGCTCTTAAATATAAACACTCAATATTTGAGTTCTCAAGGCTCAACCCAACTGATAAGTCCTTGATAGCATTTGCAAGTTTAAATGGGAATAGTTAACCACCAGGAAGAAAAAAGGCATCTGTTGAGAGAGAGAAAACCTAACAATAACAGAATCAAGCTGTTTTTTGAAACAGTAACTGTATCAAGTATACATGTAGAAAGCAAGTAAAAAAGCCAAGATGTAGCAAGCTTTTGTGCCTGGGGCTAGATATCGAACCAATGCAAGACCTTTCAGTCCTGGCACTAGAGACCTAGGAGGGTGGAAAAAATGGAATGGAAGGAGGACAATACTTCCCTAGTGAAGGAAACTGTTTTCTCCTTACATTTGGTTGAGTAGGAAGGAAAGGAGCAAAGTTGTTTGATTTTACCACTATCCCATCACATTTGAAGGCATGGTGTTGTTTGATAGGCAAAAGCATGTGGAAAAAAGGCTCTCCCATTTTGCTTCTTTTGGCAACTTTCCACAGGAAAAATATGGTGGGCTTGAAGGGAAGGCTATTCCCTCCTCTCTTCCTTTCACATCATCATTCCTTCCCACAAAAGGATATTGTATTATACTAAATAAGTAAACAAGGACTAGCCAAATGCAATTTCAGAAGGAGTATTAGAGTTAATAGGGCTATTTTAATGGTTTAATATACAATTTGGGTAAAAAAATAGATTAAATTAATTTTGAATTATAGAAAGTGAAAAAAAAGGACATCATTAGGCATGATAATACTTTGTTATTATAATTGTACGAAGGGGAAGACTGCAAGTAAAAGGCAGGGAAATTACATTTAATCAGTCTACATTCCTTAAGAAATAGCATTATTGTTTTACCAACTACTTCGAGGGCACCAAGGAAGCAATAGGTTAAAAACTTATATGTAGAACTTTAGTTGATTATATTATAATAGGCTATGCCATTATCATTGATATTGATTAACATTAATAGGAAATAACATGAAGTTATTATTGAGCAATGAGATTATTATTGTTGTCTGTTAATAGTAAAGAACTTAATGGAAAAATAAACAGGGACCAATGCTTGGTGCATGGTGAAAGATCAGGGCATGAAACTGTGGTTTCTAGTCTCAGCGCAACCACTTTGTATATATTACACTAAAAGTTGGGGTAATTCTATTCACACCGCACAAATTCTCATTATGTACCATTTTGTACCATTTAGATATCAACTTCAGAACAAAAATCCAATATTCTGACATCAACTTCTGAAAAAAAATGAATTGTTCGGATTCAAATCTCGTTCAATAGTTGATATCTGAACAACAGATTTTGTTCGGAAGTTGATGGCCGAATATTTTATCTTTGTTCGAAAATTGACATCCAAACGGCACAAATGGTGTGTATTGAGATAAGGTGTGATGGTGGGCGAATAGAATTACCTCTCATACCCAATCTACCACTCCTAGTACCCTCAATAACTGAGAACCAGCACTAAAAACGGAGTATGAGATAAAAGACATCAGAGAGAATTTTGGCATAATGCAAAAGCAGTATACAAATTTGCACAAAGGAATAATAAGAAAAAAAGCACCAAACAATGCTACTTATAAAATGAGTTTACCCGTGCTCAAATAAAATCACAAAGACTATTCACTAAGTGGTAAGTGGTTGCACTAAATTTTTTATCGGACATACCACAGAGAAAAAGAGGGAAAAAAATAAGAAGTCGGGGGACAGTTTACCTGTGCTCTCCCATTCCATGTAGAAGTAGTCCACGCAAGTAATATGATTTGGCATACCTGTTAACAAGTATCTCAAACGTATGCGTCAAGAGAACAAAAATCATATTGGGAATCAAACACCACAAAATTAGTGTAACTAAAAGATGGAAACAATGTGGATCCACAACATCAGAGTTCTATTTCCAAGAGTGAAATGTGCAAGCCAAACAATGCTGTCATGGACATGAGAGAAGATTCACTCTGATGGAGAGAAGCCTCTCAGATCCATTGCGTTGCCACTTTAAGAGCTAAAATGGGTTTATCAGAAACTCCAAGAGATGTCAAAGAACAGAGTGGGAGCAGCAAAAGATATGGAGGTATGTTTTTTGGATGGATGTTCATGTTGCAAGTGGATATGGAGGAATATTTAAGGATATCCAATTAAAGGGTGTTATGAGAAATGGAGTGGATGTTCGAGGCCACCACCGAGTTTTTGTGCTCCTTTATAGGGTGGCACTTTCTCAAGATGGAGAGGAGGCGATACTAGAAGGCTTCCGTGGAAGGGCATTTGAAAATTAGAGGTACCAAATGAAGTGTCTTTTTCCAGTTGGACAGCTGCCCTTCATTCCGTTCTGAACATAAACAGCTTGGGCAAAGGGGCTTTATGCTTCCTAATTGGTGTTGAATGTGTCGTAAGGCCGAGGAGTCGGTTGATCAATTATTGCTACATTATGATGTGGCAAGAGATTTGTGGAGTAGGCTCTATACTATTTTTGGTTTACAATGGGTGAATCCAGTTTTTGTTTGCAAGTTGTATGAGTTAGGCAGAGAATTCAATTCAAAGACAGAGCAGAAGGCATGGTGGTGGCTATGTGCCTACTGTGGAGTGTGTGGAGGGATATGAATCAATGGACTTTTGAGAAAGTAAAAATAATGGTACATAGATTGAAGATGACTTTGCTTTGTTGTTGGCATCTTGACTTAAAACAAAATATTTTTGAATCTTTATTTTCATTTCTAGATTTCATAGGAGAGCTTTATTTTAGAAAAGAACTTTTGTTTTAGCTTGTATGCATCTATTGTAATAAAGGTTGCACCCCTCAGCTTGTTTTGCAGACCTACTTTACCTGTCGAAAGAACAAAGAAAATACCTTCCATCAATTTGCAGAACTTGATTAATGCATTCGACAGCCTGTTCTGAATTTGCCAAATCATGATATAACTGTCAACAAACCAAACATTTACCACAACAACAATTGCCAAGTTACTGGACACATGAAAATAATGCACATGTTTCTAATGAAATTCATATACATCGGCACAAAAAAATTTAAAGCGCACAGAATTTCATAATTAGGTACAATCGAACTGTTTCAACATTTATATTTATGAAGACATTAACAACATTTTTTCAGAATCCAAAGGAGTGAAGCCTACCAAGCCCATAATAGAAATGCCCGTGACTATCAACATCACCCATACTCAAATATAAGACATAACATAACATGTAGGTGATGCTAACTAATTACAAAGAGTCTGTTTGATATTTGATATCTCTCTTAGCTGTTAACAACTAAAAACTTTTAGTGGTGTCTCTAATAAAAGTGTGTGATAGACACAATTAGTTACCACCCAAGAAGCACGATGCTTACAGTTCTATGGAGGAGGCATGTGGTGTCGGACACCGAAACTCTATGGACACTCCTAAAAGTGTGACCAACGCTTTTTCAACGTGTCTTAATTAAAATTTCAAATTCATAATATCAAACACTTCACTGACACATTTTGAACATTCTGAACACGACCTATGTGATGAATCTCCTTATAGTAACAATGTTTTGCATTCCTCGGAATGCGACTTGTGCACTTTAAATATGCTTTGGGACATGTATAAAATGAATACATCATGCGTATTTTAATGTTCTACATTTTTTTTCATTATTTAAAACATTCATATATTTCACTTTTAATAAATTTATTAAAATATAATTTTTTAATGTGTCCCAGGCATATCATATCCTACATTGTTTTTAAATGCCGGTGTGTCTGCCGTGTTTCATGTTCATGTCGTGTTGCGTGTCCTTGTCTGTGATACTTAAGTTACCACTTGGAAAACAATATATTTCAGCCATAAAAATATGACTTCTTTAGTGAAACTGAACAAGCTTGGTGAAAGGTAGATTCAAAATGAAACAAAAACACCATTCTGCAGTCCAAATTTTCAGTCATCACAAAAATCTTACAGCAGCGCTAATTCATCACTAAAATTTTAAACGCCAAATTTGGTTTATCAAACAAGCCCCAAGTTTTCTAGCATAGCCCAATATCTTCACACCAGAAGAATCCCAACTGTTAATATCATGGCTCAAGTGTCCAATGACTTAGATGCATATAGATCATCTAAGAGTATTAAAGTAGATAATTAGCTGCACTACTAACCTGATGTAGTCACCTGCAAGGTGACATCAATAGGATATTAATTTTTATTTTTATTGCCAGACCAAAAATGTATCTAAGAAAAAATCAATAAAACCACTAGTCCACCAGACCACAGTATAGCACAGAAAATACTGACTCAACAAGGTATTGCATGTACAATAAAGCTACATATTATGAACCATTAGTTTTCCCTAAATTTTATTTCATCAGGAGTTAGCACTAAAAGGCCAATGGCAAGTTGTACGAGACAGCCACAAGGAGGAAAACTCATGTTGAGTTGGGCTTATGGCTTGTTGATTTGAGTTGGTCAATTAGCACCAGAATAAGTGTATTAACCACTTCTCTTTTTTTACATTATACTACACTGCGAGATGCACTTGGCTTTACCAACTTGAACATTGCATGTGGTGCTTAAAGGTGAATAACACTGAGTATTTATTGTGAATACCTGTGTTAAATGAGCCCATGCCTCAAGGAAATTTGGATCAAGTTGAATTGATTTCTTATGTGCCTCTTCAGCTCTTCTATATTCACCAATTGAAGATAATGCCAAGCCCTGCAAAAATCAAAATTTGCTCCTTCAATATACTAAACATAATTTTTGACACGTGAAAGTGCATGAACTTTCTCATGCTAATTGTACTAGACCCTAGATCAGCAAAAATATTGGAATCACAAACTCACCAAATATGTGTAAGCGGATTTGTTATCCTTATCAAGCTTTATGGATGCAGATAGGTCTTCAATAGCAGCATGAAAATCCTTAAACTTGAAATTAACAATCCCTGCATTAATTCTAATGCTAACATTACTAGTACGCCATACTTCTTGTGTGTTATGCATAAGAATTGTCATCCTTTTGCTGTTACGTGATATTTATAATTAGTAACTACATATGTATAAAACTAAATGGTGACATTCAGCCGTTCTGTTATTGATGATTTCAAGGTGACAATACAACAGTGTCAGAAGACTCTGAACCATAAAACCATCTACCAAATTTTACACATAGATATGAAAAATATTTTTCTTTTTATATTTCACCCAAATCGATCAATCTTTCATTCTTATTAACTCATGCTTCAGATTAACACTCTTACCTGCATCTGTATCTACTCATACCTGAAAAACTGAAGGAAGATGCATACAATCATAAATAGAAAACAAGAATTTCCAATCCAGTCCTCATGTTCGAACAAAGGGAATTCACATATTACTCATACATACCACCAGAAAGGAAAAGTTTTCAAAAAATATGGAAGAGCTGAGTTTAAGCAAGTCATTACCCCTTTCATGCAATACATCTTCCGAGTTTGGCTCGAATTCTAACGCCTTGGTCAAGTCTGCAATGGCCTGATACCAAGAGGTAATCAAACATGACATAAATGTGTGTACGAATTATATGTTAGAATACGTACTGAAAATGTCAACCACTTGCATTATTAATAAAGACCTGGTCAATGCAGTCAAAAACAAATTAAACATGGCATACAATGAATTGTAACGCCTTGGTCAAGTCTGAAATGGCCTGATACTAAGAGGTAATTAGACATGACATACATGTGTGTACGAATTATATGTTAGAATAAATACTGAAAATGTCAATCACTTGCATTATCAATAAAGACCTGGTCAATGCAGTCAAAAACGAATTAAAATTTCAAAAACTTTCAATCATTTCACTTCTGTTTCTACAGGCTAGATTTCCATATTTAGTATGTCATAAATTCACAAGATTAGGAATAACAGTTTTCCTAGCTCATGTAGAGGGACTTCTTGAAGACCATTCCATGGGTGGAACAAGTTGATTTAGAGGAGGATTGTCTAGTCTAATTGGAAGGATCAAGGATAAAACAGAGGACCTTGAAAATACAATCATCTTTTAAAAGTTTGTGATTCTTTAGACCTGGAATTCATTGGAAGGCTAGAGAAGCCAATAAAAGAGCAGAAGACTTAATCAAAAGAGGGATACAAACACTACAGCCTCCATCCTTACATTGTCATATAGGAGGGATTTTTGTGGTTGACTTAGTTCCCTTTCCTTCTATGTATATTCACTCGTCTTTCTAAAGGATTCAGAATTCAGAACAAATAAAGAATGTAATCATTTTATCTTTTCCTGTTCTAATGACATATGCAAAGAAAACGGTCAAATTTCAGGGCAAGTATTAGTGTACAGAGGGAATAGGCAAAAAGCTGACCATTCCAAATGCCCTCTCGATCAGCACTACCAGCACCAATGCCGCTGGAACTGAAAATCAAATCTCCAAACATGCCGTAGAAGGTTATTTTTAATATATATAGATTCATTATATTGTTTCTATATCTCCTGGTATATTTACTTGTTCTATTCAATTCAGGATTCCTCATCCTTCATTTGTACCTTTTTTTTATCTTAATAATTTTTTTCTTTAATAGAAAAAAGAAAACAAAATGATCATTGGGCTCAAGATCACCATAAACTACTCTTAGCTCATCCTTATTTGCCAATCTGATTTGCTTAGTTTCGGTTCATAAAGAAGCACCCATAAAGAAAAGTCCTGCCATCACAAAATGACTCCGTCTAATTACTTAAACCTCTGTTTGAAATCTTAAAATATGTGAAAAAGATAAACAAGCTTCATGAGCTCACCCTTAAATGTTCATCTGATTTGCATTAGTATTGGAGCATTTAGTAGCACCCATAAAAAAAAGTTTTGACATCACAAAATGACTTCAAAACCACCAGGACAGAAGAACATGAAAAGAGAAATTCTGTTTGCACACCAAGCATCATCTCAATATACACCATTCTCTCAGTTCACAACACTAAATTTAGATTCTTCGATTTTTTTTCTCAATGCACATCATCTATATTCAAGTAATACCAAAATGCCCTCTTCTCTTCCAACCTCAAACCCTAACCCTAACCTAGACACCACCCATCACCGCCATCCTCCCCCTCACTAGCCCTGTCGCAACCCCCTCCCCACCCCCATCTCTCTCTCTCTCTCTCTCTCTCTCTCTCTCTCTCATGCGTGAGCTGCAGAGGTTGTGGGTCACAGAGGGTAAGCAGCTGCACGGGTTAAGCATCACTGCAGATGGTTGGTCGCAAAGAGATAAGAACTGCAATGGTGGTAGTTGTGTAGTGGTGGGTCACCGAGGAAGGGAGTTTGTGATGATGGTGGTTGGGGGTTGGTAAGGCAGTGACAAGGTTGGGAAAGGGGTGATGCTGGGGCGATGGATCTAGGAAGACGGTGGCAGTGAGGCTGAGAAGGGGGTGGCAGTTCATTGCGGGGGTGGTGATTGGTGGTGTGTAATGGTGTGTATTGGGAGATTAGACTTTAGGGATTTCCCAAAAAGGTAATTTAGTTGAGGGATATAATGGTAATTCAAAAAAATATGGCATGGTGTGAATTGAGAGAATGATGGTGTGTAAATAGAATTACCCACATGAAAATATCCTAGTCACAACTGTCGCATTACAATAATTGCCCCAAAATATAGAATTTGTCAGTCACGGTATAGCTCAAGGCACAAAATATCACCATACTTGCTACCAACATTTGATATCAAAAAAAGGAATTCACTTTCTCCCCACATCTCAAAACATCAAGGACTGCTTAAAGTGGAGGCATAAGGAGATGTGATAGTTTTCTCCACACAAGCTAGCCAATCAAAAAACTCCCAAGCAATGCAGAAAAAAATGGATTTATACTTCCTACAGGTTCAGACAAAGAACCTATATCTGAAGTCAAAAGAATTAATATTAACCAACCAACCAATGAGTCAAATAGCAAGCTACCTCGTGCACACAAAAACCAATATATATTCATTCTTGCCCCTTGTCCTTGTATATAACCCAGCTATTAATAGTCTTTATATACAACCCCACAGCGCTATTAATAGTTCCAAAGGAATAAAGAAATGAACTGGGAAGTTTGCAGAGAGACATAAGTTGAAATCCAGAGAAAGAAAAAGAGAGTTTCACATATGTAAGACAAGACAAAGACCTATAAAAAATAAGAAAAAGAGAACCACATGGAAATAACTATCATTGCTTTTCATGAAATGTGATCTCATGCCGCATGTTCTCGCTAGATGTGCACTTCATACATAACAACAACGCTTCATCTAGAAATGCTCTAAAGAAGGGTGTCTCCAAATCTTGGTTATACAGGACTTATTGGAAGTTGGGTATGATAATTTTCTGGTTCCCTTAAAAGTTGAGGGGGAGTTTTGTGATGGATAGTTCTTTTCCGCATTCTAGATGATATCTGAACGCATCTTGATTTTCTCTCTCAAACAAGGGTGTTACTTTATACTGAAAAACATGTGTTTCTACCACTTTTAACATGATATAAAAGAAAGATTATAGCCAATATTAAGATACAAGTTCTTTCAAATTGGAAAAGAAAAAAAACAAAGATAAAAAGTTGGCATTGTATCTCAATTCCCAGGAAAGGCAATACCCAAAATAAAATCTGGCAAAGGCAGTCTCTCGCAAGCAGCTTTTTTGAATATGCATAAATGTTCAAATGCCTAGCACCGGAAAATTACCTAGGTGACTAGGCTTGCTAGAGAAAGACTCAACTGAAAAGACCAAGCCAGCTATGTTGCAAAATTACTTCAAGGAGAGATTTTGAGCATCCGCTGAAGTATTAGACTCCATCCAGTTGACAGTTTAGTAGTCAAAGCACAAAAGTTCATGAAAGTTAACAGACTAAAACTGAAACGTACATGAATACAAGATTCTGCAATTAGATTTCATGCGGAGCTTCAATTGTTTTGAAATTAGAATTGATCCAGGAACTTCCTGGAGATGCACACGGTTTTGTGCACGATATAAGAAATGTCAAGGACAAATTACTATTTACCACAATTGTTAACTCATTGTGGCAATAGACACTAAGAATTAAGGAATAAGATTAGATTTTCTCACCTGGTCAGATTCCCCTAAGGCAGCTCGGGCCTGCCCTCTTCGTTTCCATGCCTCAACAGCTGATGGATTTGATTGAATAGCCTAATATATAAATAACGAAACCAATATTTATTATGATAATATAAAGACAGAAGCCATTTGCATTATGAACATAGTATTTAGCATGCACATTAATTTTGGAGCTTAAAATACCCTTGTGAAATCAGCAATAGCAGCATCAAGTTCTCTTTGGAATGCATATGCCGTTCCTCTTCCTATTAGTGCTTCAGGATAAGTAGGATCCTCGTTTAGTATCTGTGTATATAATATTGGAAAAGATAAAATTCTATGAAACCCAAAGATTAATGATATTACTGTTGATTATCTCCCCCTCAAAAAATAATATTAATAACAGTCCCCAACCAAAAAAAAAAGAAGAGAGAACAGAGAAATAAAAAAGAAGAATGAATAAAACAACCACGAAAATATTTATCAATGATTAATGGTATTAATTATAGCTGATTATCGCCCTCTCAAGAATAAATAAAGAGTCCCCCCAACCAAAAACATGAAAACTGAAGGGAAAAAAAAATGAAGAAGAAGAAGAGATAAAACAACCACAAAAATATATCTCAAACACATAGAGACCATGAGGATAACAGTTTAGGCCAAAAGAAGTATAACCTGGTCAAAGATGGAGATGGCACGATCATATTTCCCTTCATTTACCTGCAAATGAACTGGATTATATTACCAAAGAGTGTAATTGCTTCAAACATGCATAGCATAATATCATAGAAACTTCAATTGCTATATAAAAATGATGGCACAAGAAACAAATGTCATTCTTTCAAACAAAGTGAAAAGAAAATTCCATTTCTTTATCAGATTTTCACAGGGAAAAAAAAATGTGCTCTAGACAATAGTGAAAATAATTAATTACAGCAATGATGTTTAAATCAGGAAATATCTGATTGTCATCACCGAGCATTTTCCAAATACTAGCAATGAATCACATTTAACTGGTAAGTGTGATCATGAAATTGATAAATCTTCAAAATCTTATCACTTCTCAATCCCAGTAATATAAAAACATCACAATGCCTACAACCCCGGCATGCAATCTTGCAGTTAATACCCTTTTCTGACAATACAATTAATTGAAAAAGCCTTCGGCCCCAGGCAGGCTACATGATATTATATAGCTTTTTTTTCCTTTTATGTCACAAACCAGAGGGTCATTGTTGTAAACTTAGTCCTGACCAAGCAAGGCAAATCTGAATTCGGATGAAGAAGCAAGGCCTCTTTTAGATTGACCGTTGGCAGATTGAGATTAAAAGCCAATAGCAACAAAGTGTTTTCACTACTTGTAGTAGATCCATCTAGTCAAAGATGCTTATTTCTTTCTGTTCAGTCTCCTTTACTTCGCTTGTGATGAAGTTTGGCTTGTCCCTTTTTTTTAGACACTCTGTTCATTCTTTTTCATTTATAAGGTGATCTTCAATGCCCCTGTCCCAAGCGCTAAAAGCACATTGAGTATCCTTTTCATGCTTTTATTATCGCAAGTTCAGTTTAGAGTTTTTTTTTTTTTTGGTTAGGTTGGAGTGTTGACAATTATTTTTCAAAAGAATTATGTTCAGTCATATTGGACAAATAGGGCAGATGAGCTATATTGGTCTGTGGGTGTAAAATGTTTATAAATAATTAGGTTAATTTGTCAACGCAAAGGACAAAGGTCCACAATATAATACCATTGCAAGTTTCAAACCTGGCAAAGCAAACCCATTCCACAATCCTCATAAATCCCCCATCTTAATGTTCTCATCATTTTCATTTAATTTATTTAACGTATAACAATAATTCAGCCCATAATGAACTTTCATTAGTTCCTTCTAATTTTACTCAACCAACAAAATATTTGGTAGATACAAATCAGAATTGTGCTTTTAGTTGATTTGGACACCCACATGCACACATTTACACAGGAGAAGAAGAAGAGGGAGAAGAATGGTGAAGACAGGCTCTGAAAGGGGCTTTTCAATTTATGTGCCAGGAACATGGTGTGGCAGGATATTGCAAACTGTAACCACCATAATGTGATGGTAGTGTGCCAAATCAACAACTACATGAAATATTGAACGATATAGCAGTTGCGCCAAGGCCCTTGTATTACATAGAGGCTTTTGTGCACCATAGAATTCATGATTTAAAGCCTAGATCGCAAACTAGAAAGCTTTGAGCAATTTAAAACTATTCTTAAGATGTAAAATTGAGGCTTCAATATCAATTCTGGAATAACAGTCAACACCAATTAAAGCTTGTACACTTGATACGCATGCAAATGATAAACCACACCCTAAGACAAAAGATTTAGAATCTGTAAACAAAAAATGCTGGCTGTTTACCTCGAAAGTAACAGGTTGCAGTACATAGATGATATTAGGTGGTCAATGTTTCCTTGAGAGGTCTTAAATACTCGATAAGGAATTATATCACATGACATCTCACATGGTATTGACCATGAGACATCCTGACTTTAAGGAACAAGTGAAACTCATATTCTCAATAAGGAATTATACCAAAATTACATAGCCACATAGATATCTAAAATGAGACCTCCTGATTTAGAGGACAAATGAAACCCATATTTGTCCCGCAAATAGCAACAGAATAATTTTAGAGCTTCAATCATCAATGTAACTGCTCTTTAACCTGGAAGATGGTACAGTAGGATCGAGATGGATCAAGAGTTTAGAATTTGGTTACTTCATAAAAATTACAGGTACCATCAATTGGGCTCATAGCGGCCAATATTATTCATAAACATTATAAGTACTCAACAAGAGATTACACCACCATGACACAGCCCCGTAAGTATTTAAGTTGAGATTCCAATTTTAGTGGGTACATGAAAACTATATTTACCAATGTATTAATTAATTCCATAATTATTGTAAAGTCTCTCCATATGAATTTATCTCATGCTAAAATTGTTTGGGAGGTTAAGTTCTTCAATGGCCATCTTTTTTTCGAACAGCTTTACCTTGAATTAAATGGTAAGGTATGTAAGTTGGCATCTAGCATTTTAGAAGACGTGAGTAGACATGTCAAACAGTTATTATTTTATGTTTCAAACTTTGAAATATCATAACATTCATTCTACCATCCGTTTTTTATCAAATTGATTTTTTTGGAACCTATTTGTTGAGATTATCAAACAAGATTGATATTGAATATGAAATTGTGTTTAAGAAATAAGCCAAGAAATTTTCAATTTTTGAAACTTTAAAATTTTATGAAATTATGTTTAAAACAAGTAAACTGAAAATTTTTAGGATGGAGGCCATTACATGATTTACACACCATCTGACCCACTTCTTTTTGTTGCTGTGAAGGTAAACAACTAGCTTTCCTCTGCACAAGGAAACTAGTGTTGCTGCTTTTGAAAAGCAACTGCACTTTGCTTTTCTTATTAGTTCTATTGTACAAAGGCCTTGTGAACTGTAAGAAAAATTGATGTATATTATTGATTGATATATTGATTGATTTATTGATACATTACAAGATTGATTTTATTCTGTATATTACAATTCCTATATATAGAGGAGAAGATGGTAGTGGAGTGTGTGATAGTGGAGGTGGTAGGTGTGGAGAAAGATAGTGGAGGTAGTAGGTGAGTGGTAAATTCTAACATTTACCAATGTATTAATTAATTCCATAATTATTGTAAAGTCTCTCCATATGAATTTATCTCATGCTAAAATTGTTTGGGAGGTTAAGTCCTTCAATGGCCATCTTTTTTTCGAACAGCTTTACCTTGAATTAAATGATAAGGTATGTGAGTTGGCATCTAGCATTTTAGAAGACGTGAGTAGAATGTCAAACAGTTTATTATTTTATGTTTCAAACTTTGAAATATCATAACGTTCATTCTACCATCCGTTTTTGATCAAATTGATTTTTTTGGAACCTATTTGTTGAGATTATCAAACAAGATTGATATTGAACATGAAATTATGTTTAAGAAATAAGCCAAGAAATTTTCAATTTTTGAAACTTTAAAATTTTATGAAATTATGTTTAAAACAAGTAAACTGAAAATTTTTATTATTTGAAACTCTGTAATTTTTTAAAATTGTGAATTTTTTTCAAATTTGGAAATTTTCTCAAACCTATGAAATTTCTCAGTTTCAAATCAAGAAAATTCTCAATTTCAAAACTGTGAAATTTTATAATTGTAAAATTTTTCAGATTTAACTCACAATTGTTGTCGCTAAAAGTTTATAGTTTAATTTGAAAAAACTAAAAATTTAATGTTTAATTTGTTATTAGGCGAAAACTTTTTAAAATTTTCCCCAATAAAAAATGTTGATGTCCGTTAGAAGCTACTACTAGACAAGCCTGATCAGTTTGGGTTCTCTATTTCAATTCAATCTCAAGAAGCCTCCGTTCATCGACCCCATGGACACTGCAAAGTCGAAGCAATGAAGCAATTCATTGACCACGGCAAGTGTGATCCCACAATCCACAGTGATCCTTCTCTCTCATTCTTCAGGGACTATCTCAAAAGGTAACATATATATCCACATAGGTATGTAGATATATCCATACTTGTATGTGTTTATATATGATGTATATAAACATCCAATTCGTCGTCCAAGGCAAGGTCTCCTAAAATGACCCCAAAAACCAGAAACAATGAAGGCTGGAATGGCAAGATGAACAAACTTAGCGACAATCGAAGTCGAAGACATTGGTGGAAGGGAGACTTGGGTGGAGAGGTGTAGAGAGAGTAAAATGGATTGAGCTAAGATGCCTACCATGACTTTTCCGCCTTTGGTCTTTCCGCGATATAATGATTGGGTGTTTTAGTCATATGACTGGGTGTGGGACTTGACGTAATGTTATATAAGTTCATTATGTGAGACCTATATCCATAATCCCCATTATTAATCAATTATTAAACTGAATGTATGGGGACTTGTCCCCATACTATTGTGTCATCCCCATCATTAAGTGGCACAAACAGGATCATACATTGATTTACAAGGCTGTATGAGAAGCTACCACGGCCAATTTCATATGTGAACTCCTAAGTGAAGTTTCAATATCAATATCCTCAACATACAAATACCGAACAGCAAAACCTTGCTAATCGCTATCCTTAAATCCAAAAATATAAACCATATATAGCAAGCAACATTATTTCAGGTACCAATATACCAAGGAAAGAAGTAGAAACATACCTGTGCAATTCCCCTTGATAATCGAAAATCAACACTTATCGACTTGGTCTTTGAAATCCTAGTAACGCAGAACTTTTTATTCTTCTTGGCTTCACCACTTGATTCATTGCTTACATCAGATTGGTCACTTAACTTGCTGCATATCTCAGATACATTACTCAATTCTCTGCAAATCACAGATGGTTTATTGCATGTATCACTTAATTCACGACTTAATTCAGACTCATCACCAGATTTGTTGAGAATGTCATTTGTTCCATTTGATTGGCTACTATAGGTTCCATTTGGTTGGCCAAAAGAGGTTCCATTTGATTGACCATTATAGGTTCCATTTGGTTGGCCATTATAGGATCCATTTGGTTGGCCATCAAACCTTCTGTTCATCTTGACTTTATCACTTGATTCATTGTGTATGCCAAATGTATCATTTGATTCACTGGGGAACTCAGATGTATCACTCAACTCGCTGCACAGTTCAGATGCACCACTTAACTTATTGTGATTATTACAGGTTTCATTTGATTTTCTTGAAATAACAGGCCCAGCTTCAGATGCAGTCCCAGATGACTCCATATCATGGTTCTCACAAGAAATACTTCTATTTTGTTTTGCAACTGTCAGAAGCTCCTCCAGTTCCAGCAATTGCTTCAAATCAGCAGACTGACAACGAGCATATTCATAGCCTTGCTCCCAAACCAAGAGAGCATCCTCTTTCCTTCCCAGAGCAGAAAATGCATGGCCTAGATGACAAACACTACAAGATTAAGCTCATGAAATAATGTGGGATCGTTAAATGATAAATCAAATGGAAATAGGTACAAACTTTCATTACAAAAAAAATGCAAAGAACCAATCAAAAGAACAATGAAAACATATTTTGAAATTGACTGTCACAGTAAGATTCTTCATCAGTTCCACAGACCAACCACAGGTATGGCTCTCATCCTATAGAGGTTGGCAGGTTACAATTTTCTGGTCTAAGCACACAATGTCCATGCACTGTAAGCCATACCTTTATTCACTTCATTAGTGATAGCTACACAGCTTTGCAAGCCTCCAAAAATTAAAGTTTCAAATCACAAAAAGTTACCCATTAGATGCATTCTAAATTCATTTATTCTTGAAAATCTATACCATAAGATTATATTTAGATTGATGAATTTGAAATGAACATATTAGGATATGAACAAACTGTAGATTGAAGTTGGATTTAACAAGATATCAAAGGATTGGGGTATTATATTTCTGGTGGATTTGAAAAATAAGGTGAAGGGGGGTAATTTGAAATCCACCTTACGAATTATAGTTGTAAAAGCCTCCAAAAATTAAAGTTTCAAATCACAAAAAGTTACCCATTAGATGCATTCTAAATTCAATTATTCTTGAAAATCTATACCATAAGATTATATTTAGATTGATGAATTTGAAATGAACATATTAGGATTTGAACATACTGTAGATTGAAGTTGGATTTAACAAGTGCTGGAAATTTGTGTTAATGTATATAATATGATAGTGGTGTTGGTGGTAGATAGTGGCATGTATAGAATATGATAGTGGTGTTGGTGGTAGATAGTGGCATGTATAGAATATGATAGTGGTGTTGGTGATAGATAGTGGCATGTATAGAATATGATAGTGGTGTTGGTGGTAGATAGTGGCATGTATATAATATGATAGTGGTAGATAGTGGTAATATATAATATGTAAGTGGCATATAATGGGTTATAATGATGTTTGTAATATCTCCTATATAAGGAGTGTCATTTGGTCTTGTAAGATAAGAAGTTTTGAATATAACAGAAATATATTCCTTCTTCCTCATATTTTCGGAGTTTTTCTTCCTCATATTTTCTAAGTACAAGATATCAAAGGATTGGGGCATTATATTTCTGGGGATTTAAAAAATAAGGTGCAGGGGGTAATTTGAAATCCACCTTATGAATTATAGTTGTAAAATCTAGTTGGACATGTCTCTCCTCTATCTACTTTCCCTTGCCTCTACCAATCAACCTAAATTGTTTTTTTCATAAGTAAATGTATAGAGTCAAAAGGGGTTCAACCTTGTATACACAACATATACCAAAGGCAAAGAAAAAGAAAACCAGCATAATGCCCTTCAGAGCATAAATCAAACTCTCCTTCCCATGGGAGAAAGCCAAAATTAATATATCATGAACATTCAAGGAATTGCAAATAATATGTGGAGCTTTATATAAAAAAGAAAGAAAGAAAAATCAATCCCTCTGTTGGTGACACCCTCCCTCCACCGGTGCTCTTTTCCCTCAACAAGATCTACAGTTTCTCTCCTCTCCCTCTAGATGCACCAAATAAGACAGAACGGAACAATATCCCAAGCCCTCCTATTATACCTCCCCTGGGACACCTTATTTTCTAACAAGCAAAAAGGTATAACAAATACTATAAAAACTGTGAAGAACAAACTCCACACCACCATGGCCACTGTACAATGCAACAAAATATGATTCACTAACTCCCTTGCACATTTAAACAAGCAACACCAATTGATCAATCATAAAATTACCCCTCTTCCAATTATCAATAGTCAAAACATAGCCTCCCTCCTCACCGCTGATAATAAATAAATAAAATAAACTAACTACAGGCTCTTAAACTAATTACTAGATTCCTAAAAAAATGGTTTCTCACCACTCTTTGAGCTTAACTATAATACAATACTGAAAGTAGTACTTTTTTGTCAACTCATCCTGGCCATATCGTGGGCATAGGTTTTCTGTAGAAATTCTGATGGATTAAGTAATGGGCAAACTTCACTTTACCCCTTGTGATTTGGGCCATGCGTGGTTTACCCTAACGCTTAGAAATGACTTCATAACTCCCACATGGTTTGTAGACTGAAGTACACTGTTAAACATTCCGTCCAACTTAATAGTAAGTGTGAAACACGTTAAAGGGTTATATGCTTCTTTTTCAAATTTCAGTGGGTATATCACACATGAAATAAAGCACAAGGAGTTAAAAGTACACTTTGTCTTTCAAACAAATGACAAAAATACAGGGGTTATGTGGTCATTTGCAAACCTTGGGTAAACCACACATGGCCCAAAGCACAGGGGGCACAATAGCAAACTGCTATGCAAATATAAGTCTCCATTTAGAACTTCCATGCACAGTTTCAGATTTTGTTTCTCATCCAATTTCTGGCAATCCTAAATTTCATATCATGTAATTCAGTTCACAGCAAAAGATACGCAAAAATTGAAGATCAGAAAAACCTTTGAGAATGTAAGCTTGAAGAAGCGTAGGGTCAAGCTGAAGGGCCTTATCACAGTCCTTGATCACATGTTTGTGAAGCTCCAATTGACTATAACAAAAGGCTCGATTACTGAAACTCACAACAACAAAACAGTTTCAGATCAATCAGTCAACCAATTCATCATCAAACAAATACAGATTCGAAACATACAATTCGACATAAAAGACAGAGAGAAATGAAAATTGAATTAAGAAATTTGTGTACGAACCAGATGTCTTGGATGGAAAAGGACTGGGAGAGGAGAGAATCGAGAACGCGAATGGCCTTGGACCAGTCTCGAGAGCTGCAGAGCTTCGCGAGCTCGACTCTCTCCGAGATTGCTGGCGACGCCATGAGAGACAGAGAGAGAACGGATCGGAAGCACTTCTATCTTCTTCTTTCCCCTTTGTGGGGATTTTAGAGAGAGAGAGAGGCAGAAATGATAATAAAAAAAATAAATATAAAATAAAAAGTCGCCCAGAGAGAGAAAACGGGAGAGAAGGGTAGAAAAGTTAATACGAGTTGAAAGTTTAGAAACAGAGAGGAAAGAGAGACAGACAGAAGCGCCGTTGGAAAATAATCGATTTACTTCGGGGTTCGGATTTGGATGGTTTGCAGATTAGTTTGAATTCACTCGCATTTATGTGATTTGGAAAAAAGACAATCCGTCATCACTCGCATTGTGGTTTACCATTTGTGTAGATAGGGTTTGTGAATGTGCGGACAGTTTGCCGATTAGACTTTTTTCTTTAAAAATTTATTTTTTAGTCTTACTTTTTTCTCATTTTGTAAATATTTATTTTGGGTCATTTTTTTTTCATTTTCTAAAATGCTCTAACATTAATAATTAATGAATTAAAACTTATAAGATTAAAATACAATAAAATCAATTTGTAACACAAACAAATCATTCAAAATCTTAAATCAAATCATAAACTAACACAAGCATATATTTCAAAATCCTAAACTATAACTTCATATTCATTAAGGAATATAAAATTCCAAATCACACTTCATTCGGGACAAGTTCAGTTATGTAACAATAATAATATGATCAGTATTTATTTAGTTTCAGTTAATATAATACTATTAACAAATGTAATGCTAGAATAAGTTCAAAAAATAAAGGGTGTTTTGTTTTGGACAAAAATGTCTAGATGAGATATAGAAATGAAATAAATAGTTAAGATAAAAATAAATAAATAAAGTGCGGTGCGGGTTAAACCCGCAACCCGCAAAGATGTCATATTTTAAACTGCATCCGCCCGCATTGTATTTACAAAACCGCCCATTTATATACAGATTGGACAGGTTGGGCGATTTTTACGAATCGGATAAACCGTTGCCCAACCCTGAATTTACTGGTGAGGATCTCTTTCTCTTATTATACTATTTTTATTTTTTTAATGTTTTATATAATTACAGTATTTCATGATAATATATTATTTTATTTTCAATAAAAGTTTGCTTAATATATGGACTACCTGCATAGTTCTTTGTTTTTGCTTTTCACCTGTTTCTAACTGAGTCCAGATCGTCGGTCGCCTTTTCCTGTGGCGCGTCCTGCGGCACCCCCAAAACGACGTCGTTTTGGGGGAAATTTCAATTAAAAAAAAAAAGAGAGATTGAACAGAGGCAACCAGAGACAGTGAAGAAGGAGGAAGAAGGAGGAAGCTCAGTCCGAACAAGGCATCATTGAGTTCCAAACCGAGATTCAGATGCTATCGAAGGTCAGGCATCGCCATTTGGTGTCGTTGATTGGTTATTGTGATGAGAACTCAGAAATGATCTTGGTTTATGAATGGATATATATATATATATATATAAATCAGCGAACCAACACACAGAATCAGCGAAGAGAATGAAGAAGAAGAAGAGGAGAGAGAAATTGGGGAGAGTGAATGAACAATAATTGAGAGTTCTACGATACGAATAAATTGTCTGTCATTTGATTATCATAACGCTTACAATACATCCAAAACCTATTTATAAAATTGAAGCAGTGAAAAGCCTCAAAACAACGAAATCCAAACAGAAGTAAACACAGAAATCCCAATATTAAAGAAAAAGTTGAAACCAACCCAATTTGTGTAACTCAATCGGCAATCATGATGCAGATTAAACGGAATTGAAAAACCAGAAACACAAAAAGAGGGGAAAAGATCACTTGCGAAAAATCATTATTATTATTGTTGGATCATGGAAATCGAATCACAGAACTCTTAATTATTGTTGCTCTTCCTTTTTTTTTTTTTTTTTGTGAATAAATTAAAGAAAGAAAGAAAGAATGTTCCAGTAATTAAAGGGCCTGAAAAATCAGCAGAATCGGATCAGATTCATGCGAGTATAACTGGATAGATTTTGGTGTCGCAAGTTTTTTGTATGTATAATCTGTTTCATCAGATTAACATAGAAAGGATATATATATATATATACTAGCGGCCGGGCACACGCGATGCGTGTGCAAACTCGTTTAAAATTATAATATGATTTTATATTATTTTTTCTAATAATATACATATAAACCATATGAATAATTATGTACAATGTAACATTTGATATTAACGTATTTGATAAATAAAACATATGCACATTACAATATGTACACGTGTTTTAAAAATTGAAATATTTACTAATCTTAACTAAAAAAATTGTACAATAAAAATTCATATAAAATCTAAATTTGGTAACATGAGACCGGAGATCTTGCAAATCCTGCAAAAAAAAATATATATATATATAAGATATATTTATCATAAGATTGCTAATAGTATACATTGACTAAAATTATATTGTACGTTATGAGGCATAATTATACATAAGTTTGGTTTTATAATTGGCTTATTATGTATAAAGACACAAAAGGTAATTATTGTGTTAATTTTTTGTAAACAAAATCTAAAAATTAAAAACTTACATATCGACATAGATTGACTTCGTTCATATCAAATATCACGTTCAATGATCTCTTCAAATTGTTTTGATGCAATTTTTGCCATAGATCTATGACAACATTAAACTACAAAAAATAAGATGGAATTGACCGAAAATGAAGTACGTAACTTTAGTTATACATATAAACCTATAAGTAGATTACCTTGTAACAATGTTGCACATATATTTGTAAACTTTCAATTTTTGTATCATTCGTTGCCTATAAAACTGAGGAAAAATATCTCATAGTCATGTAAGTCGATTGTTTGACAAATTTATAAAATCTAAAATTAATTTGTAAATTCACAAATATGAATATATGGAGCGTAGTAGTAAAGTTCATAAGACTTGATCTTTTACGACATATATGTCCATATTGTCTTTGCTGCATATACTTGCTCTATCAGATATGATAGGATTTCTATAAAAAGATTACAATAACTATTAGCAAATGTAAAATATTGAAATTATTCATATAAAATGCCACAAACACATTATCATACCGATGTTGTCGTTGCCTCAAAAGCTCTCGCACAATTAATTTTCCAAATTGTTTTTTATCAACTTTAATAGAGACCTTCCATCCAAGACTGTATATGGAGAACTGTTTGACCTACATTAATTTAAAAGGTATAGTCAAATTCAAAATATATGCGAATATTGTCAAATTAAATAGAAAAAATTTTACAAACATTATTTTTTGAACATAAGTGAAGCCAATACCTGATTTTTAACTTTCTTATCTGCAACCATATTTGCTTCCTCTTGATAATTCTCCCAAAGCTGAAGTAGCTTTATTTTTTCAAGTATTTCTACAATCAATAATTATATGAAGATATATTATAAGTATATTAATTGTAGATTTTAAGAAATAACGTAATATAAGCTGAATAAGAACATATTTAGTACATACCTCATGTATCAATAATTTGGTAACAAAACGTCTTTGTAGACTACATTGCAGGTATACACTACTTCTTCATTATTAACTGAACCCTTTTTAACCAAGACTTTCGTTGTTTGATCTGACACCCCTCGAGATAAAGCAACATATAGTTGCCCATGACTAAATACATGATCCGGAAGGTAAATTCCCACGTGTGGAATTGTTTGACCTTGTGATTTATTTATCGTCAAAGCAAAACTAAGGCGAACTGGAAATTGTGTGCGAGTCATTTTAAATGGAAGTTTTAAGTTTTCCGGAGCCTTTAATGGAATGCGATGTACGAAAACTCTCGTGCCTTTGAAATGTCCTGTTAAAATCTCTGAATCTATGAAATTATTGTTCAAAGCTCGACACAGTAGCCTTGTGCCATTGCACAAACCAGAAGAAGGGTCAAGATTCCTCAAAAGCATAATTGGGGCTCCAACTTTCAAATGCAATGCATGTGGGGGCATTCCTCCTGGTGAAATGGAATTTAAAAACTCTTGTTAATACAAAATTTGGGTATCATTTTCAACTTTATCAAATGAGTGGTACACTCTTGATTCTCCTGGAAATCTCTGAATGATTTTCTCATTGAGCTTGTCGACATCTTCACTGTGAGGAGTTATTATGCCCCTACTAACCATATACTCGGCGTCAAAAGAATGGTTTATGATATCAGGATAAATTTCTTCTAATAGTTGAATTATTGATTCTTCGTCATTCCATGGTATTGCCATCGATGTTGGTACTTTGATCATTTCATCTATAATGGTAGGTTGTACACTATTTCCAACAGATAAAAGAAATTCACCAAACTGTTGGTCATTTATAGAGTGCATGTTTTGCTTTAAACGAAGTATGAATGTGACTCCAAAGAGGTGATTTGACTATCAATGCAGCAATAGTTTCAGCTTTTGTACCTTTAGGAACAACTGGAAGTACTTGTCAAAAATCACCACCAAACACCATAATTTTGCCATCAAATGGATAATCAACACCAGTGATGTCTATGAGTGTTTGATTCAAGGCTTCAAAAGCATAGCGATTTGTCATTGTAGCTTCATCCCAAATGATGACTGTTGCACGTCTAATCAGTTCTGCCAAATCTGATTGTTTAGTAATGGAACACACGGATGAAGCCTCTGGATTTAAGGGGATCTTGAACCTTGAATGGGTTGTCCTTCCACCAGGTAAAAGTGTAGCTGCAATTCCAGAAGTTGCTGTTACAATGGCAATTCTCCCTTGACTTCTCACTGAGGCCAATAGTGCACGATATAAATATGTCTTTCCAGTTCCTCCTGGGCCATCCACAAAGAAGATTGCACCAGTATTGCATTCCACAGCCTCCATGATTGAATTGAAAGCTAAGTGTTGATCACTATTTAATGTGGCAATAGAATTCAAGTCTTCTCGAGGAGTTACAATGGAAAACTCATCTTGTATGACCTTCGGAACTGTTGAATTATCATTCAAATTCATTGTCATCTCAGGCAGATTGTATTCTAATATGTTCTTATTATGCTGTAGTAGGAGACGGTTTATATCTTGCAGGGTTTCGTTAAGGATATACATATTATTCATACTGTTTTGAAGATATGTAATCTTCAATCAAGTAAGGATAAATTTCATCCCACAAACTTCGCACCCCCGTTGGCACACAGTAAACCAAAATTGTAACTAATAATCTCCTTAAAGCTGATGGCATGTGCATGGTTGCAGCTTCTAACAAACATTGTCGTATGCTATCATCATGCTCTAACAAACCATGATGTTCAGCTGCTTGTTTAAAAGTTGGGTACACAATTCTATTAACCATTAACAAATGATCGAATGATTTTGGTCCTCGGATATGATTGAGTAAAATTCTCAAGTAAAATCTCTCCCCTTCTGATGGCGAAACTGTGTAAATTCTACCAATTACCCTTTGATGGTTCAATCTCAACTGCCAAATCTTTGCACTATTGCACCATCTATAGTGTTGCAATATCTCTCGATATAAGGATCGATTTACAGTTTCATCATCAACATTTAATTGAAAGAATTGGGTAAGCATTGTTCTGGAATAATACTCATCGCCTAAAACATTTGCGATGTCTTGGAACGTATAAAACCTCACTTGCTGCTTATTTGGTAAGTGTATTTGGAAGCGTTCTACGCTATGAGTCATTTTGGTCATTGAGAATTTGAATATTTTCCACAATGCTTCTGGAGCACAAACCCATCTTCCATCTATGAACTGTTGTACTTCGTCATAATTAGGACCTTGACGAACTTCTAGTGCAACACGGTCAGGCCCTTTATAAACATATTTGTATAAATACTTCACACTTGTAATACTACTACAAATTTCAAGATTGATATGACAATCATATTTCAAGAGCAACCATGGGTTGTATGGAATGACCCAACTATTATCCACTAAGACGCTTGGATTACTCTCTACAGGAACTGACTCCCATTCTCTTCTTCGATAAATAGGATATGAATCGTTTCCAAGTGTAGTAATTGAAGAAAATGGCTTTGGGAAACGTTTTTTGCAACGACCATTTGTCATACATGAGGATCGTTCATTGTACATTCCACATGGGCCATGTATCACGTGTTTCAAAACTACACTGTATAATCTAGGCTCTAATCTCTTGTCTGGAATTTCAGCTCTGATAATGTTATCATAATCATCAGGAGTGCGTAACTTATCATTTTCATCCAAAATAATGACCATGTGGGCATGTGGTAAGCCTCTTTTCTGGTACTCAATAACATATGCATATGCCAGAACCTTTCTGAGTACATGTTTTGTAAGAATGTCGGTCTTTATCTCATCAAATTTTGAATCAAATATTCTTGTTAGCAAATCAGGACGATCATGTGGTGACTGTCCAGGTAGCAACTCAGCTTTAATTTCAGGCCAATTTGGATTGCAGGTCATCGTAAGGAAAAGATCAGGTTTTCCATACTTTTGGACCAGAGCCATTGCATCTTGATATCACTGATACATGTCTCGTGGGCTACCAACAAATGACGATGGCAATATTGTTCTACGACCAACATTGCCTAAACAAATATTTCACAAAAGGAAAAAAGAAATTATATGTATGAATATAAACAACCATGCGTACATGTAATTGTAATATCGTACGTGACAATTTGTACCTCCATAATTTTCACCAGCATGTATTGCATCTAGAAGACCTTGATAAAAATCTACTCGAATGTGATTCTGATGAGTACGTATCCATCTTAATTTGTTGGACTCAATCTTTACGTAATTATCTACAACATACTGCTGTAAGAGACGACCTCCTCGAAGAAAAAGAGATTGATCACCAGGGCAAATCTAAATTGATAGTATTTCAATACTTATAAATAATTAAAAATAAAGATTTTATACGAAATAATTATAGATTGAATAACTTTGACGAAGTAATTTTTTAATATTATGTATACGTCGTTACCTGTAGCATATAAGAATAGAAATCACAACATGTTACTTTTCTGCCATCATTACTTCTGGTATTTACATTCCATCCATATGAACCGGAGGGTAACAACAGAGGATACTGTAATGGATCATAGTATCCGACAATATCAGAAATATTTAGGAGGTGACCACTGATTGATTGGACAATGATATCTCTTGATTTTAAATATCCAGCTTCTTCGCCACCTACTAAAACTGCAGCAACTTCAAGAGTAGTAGGAAGGTTGTATTGGGGCCTATTACGTGGTTGCTCTTTGATTTGAAGTCTGCATTCATGTATGTCTAGACGCTGAGCCAATTGGCGCAACGTGTGTACAAATGGATTATGAGTATTTAAAATATTCTTTATCTTGTCAAGCAAGTCCAAGTGCAATTCTTCATTTTCAGACATTCGATTCTCATTCTCGTGGTCAGTGTCATAAACATACAGTTGCAAATATCTCGGTCTGTCGCTAGAATTTGGTAAGAGACTCCCAATCTTATGATATATGGCTCCTTGTGCACGAAACGTGTACACACCTCGAGTTCTTGTTGCTAAGTTTTCATCAACATGAACACCCATTGAAGTGAATGAGAAAACATGATTGTAGGCTCGAATATTTTGTCTGAAATGACGACCTTCTACTGTTTGGTCAGAGAAAATATCAATCATCTCATTTGGAGCTGTTACTGGTGGCAAAATAATTGTTCTATTATTCCAACACATGGTAGATGTTTCACGGTGGAACAATCTTGCGTTGCAATGTCTACATGTAGTTGGAGCAGGGAACTGCATTCTTTGGAACCTTTCACTTTCATGAAAATTTCTTGCACAATTATGATATCTCCTATGGATAAATGATCGATTATTTGGAATATCTTCATCACTCAAAGCATCCTGATTGTGGTCGACGTGAGGGATATTTCCTACAACAATACATGTATGATGTATGAGTTTATTATTAACACAATAGTATTTATTTGAAAGTGTTTGAGTTTCATGTTGAATATTAAATGTAATTGTACTGCATATCATATTTGCATGATCATATTTTTTACATTTATTGTAAAGGTTGTTTATTTTGTAAAAGTACTTAAACTAAATAAATTATTTGTACCTTCTATCTGAACTTCACGAAGATCTTGTCTGTTGCCACTTGTGCTTCCATGCTCATACATCGAATGAGTAGGTGCATATCGGGGTAAGTCGATACGTGCGAGTGCAGTCATTCTACTTTCCCGTCTAAAAACATTAGTCGCAACCAAATTGCCTTCTTCGTGAATGGTTGGCAAAACTGTTGCTCGCGGCCTACGCCATCCTGTTCTATTTCTTCTTGGGATTGCATCGAAAAAGTTTAACATGCATCCTAGCAGTTAAAATTATAAATAATAAATTAAATGAATATTAATGTCAAAAGTGTAAAAGCTTACCCAAAAAAAAATGTTTATAACATTTGAATACTTACTGCTTGTTTGTGCATTCGTCATATTATGTACTTGATTTGGATGAGAAGTTTGTTCGATATTTTCAGATATTTGCCTTATTTGTCGATAATTTGTTCGTCGCCATGCAAGTTGTTGTTCGCGTTGTTCAATAGTCAAAGCAGCCCTCCTTTGTCTAGCATAATTACGCCAACTTTCCCTTTGAATTTCTCTTTGTTGCACATTAGAGGTCGCACTTTCTTCGCGAATAAACAATCTTCGCCTGCGCTGAGTAAGACGACGTTGCTCCAATCTTGCTGAGCGTTGTTCAGTGCTTAAGTTTTGAAGGCGTAACTGTTCGAATTCTCTTTGTGGTTGTTCAGTTTGAGCATTTGGTTCCGAAGCTGAGCGTTGCCTCCTCTGTTGTAGGTACAAACGACGTCGTTCACGATTTTGTTGTTGTACATGTCTCAAATTTGATGTGTCAGGGTAATCGTGATTCATTTTTCCTAAGATTGTAAGCAAACTAACACGTACGTAGATGAAATCCGGCTATCTTTAAAATGTGCCTACATTATATAAAATTATGTAAGAGGCAACTCGTATACTCACAATATAATAAGCTTTATATTTTTATGTAAGTGTTTTCATATGTTTGTTTTTATATTTTTATAATGCATATTATTTTAAGTACTAATTTCATTTTGTGGAGAATTAAATAAAATTGCAAGTGAAAGAGATTACCTAGTAATGATGAGCCAAAGCGTGTGCAACTTGAGATATGATTTAAAAACAAACTGAATATAAAATTTTCAAACATTCAATTAAATATAAAAATAAATAAAAAATAGAATTAAAAATACTTACAGTCAAAAGAGAAGTAGAAGATAAGTATTAACAAACACGACTGTAGAAGTTATTTGTTCTGACGATCACAAACTCATTACGTAATAAATATTCGGTGTTCGGTGTTCGGATTTGGATGGTTTGCGGATTAATTTGGATTCGCTCGCATTTATGTGATTTGAAAAAAAGATAATTCGTAATCACTCGTATTGTGGTTTGCTGTTTGTGCAAATAGAGTTTGTGAATGTGCAGACAGTTTGCGGATTGAACTTTTTTCTTTAAAAATTTATTTTTTTGCCTTACTTTTTTCTCATTTTGTAAATATTTATTTTGGGTCATTTTTTTTCCATTTTCTAAAATGCTCTAACATTAATAATTAATGAATTAAAACTTATAAGATTAAAAATACAATAAAATCAATTTGTAATACAAACAAATCATTCAAAATCTTAGATCAAATCATAAACTAACACAAGCATATATTTCAAAATTCTAAACTATAACTCCATATTCATTAAGGAATATAAAATTCCAAATCACACTTCATTCGGGACAAGTTCAGTTATGTAACAATAATAATATGATCAGTATTTATTTAGTTTCAGTTGATATAATACTATTAACAAATGTAATGCTAGAATAAGTTCAAAAAATAAAGGGTGTTTTGTTTTGGACAAAAATGTCTAGGTGAGATATAGAAATGAAATAAATAGTTAAGATAAAAATAAATAAATAAATAAATAAAGTGCGGTGCGGGTTAAACCCGCAACCCGCAAAGATGTCATATTTTAAACTGCATTCGCCCGCATTGTATTTGCGAAACCACCCATTTATATACAGATTGGACGGGTTGGGCGATTTTTACGAATCAGATAAACCGTTGCCCAACCCTGAATTTACTGGTGAGGATCTCTTTCTCTTATTATACTATTTTTATTTTTTTAATGTTTTGTATAATTACAGTATTTCATGATAATATTTTATTTTATTTTCAATAAAAGTTTGCTTAATATATGGACTACCCGCATAGTTCTTTGTTTTTGCTTTTCACCTGTTTCTAACTGAGTCTAGATCGCCGGTCGCCTTTTCCTGCGGCGCGTCCTGCGGCACCTCCAAAATGACGTCGTTTTGGGGGAAATTTCCAAAAAAAAAAAAAAAAAAAGAGATTGAACAGAGGCAAACCAGAGACGGAGGAGAATGAAGGAAGGAAGCGACCAATGACTTTGTTTGTTAATCTGATGAAACAGATATATAAAATATATAAATATATATATATCCTTTGTTTGTTATGTTAATCTGATCAAAAACTTTATTTGTTTTGATTTATATATATGAAACAAATTATACATACAAAAAACTTGCAACACCAAAATCTATCCAGTTATACTCGCCTGAATCTGACTCGATTCTGCTGATTTTTCAGGCCCTTTAATTACTGGAACATTCTTTCTTTCTTTCTTTAATTCATTCACCCAAAAAAAAAAAAGCAAGGTTAGTTTGAGTTAAACTTGGCCACCTGAGCTAATGAAACAATTAGCGGCCTAAGCTGATTAGTTCCTAGAAACAATATGGAGAAGGATGGAGAAGGACGGACAAAGTTAGAGAAAAACTTGAATCTAGAGAGCTAGAAGAGAAAGTTAGAGAAAACAAAAAGAAATTGGAAGAAAATCAAACAGAATTCAAATTCATCCATTTGAACTTGAGAGAATTGAACACATAGGTGATTTAGAAAACCATAAATGAGGTGTTTAAGTTAAACTAATATTGTTCAGCTACAAGTACGCAGAAAATTCTCCTTCTTAGAGGCCAAGCAAGGTTAGTTTGTGTTTAACTTGGCCACCTAGGCTAATGAAACAATTAGTGTCCTAAGCTAATTAGTTCCTCGAACAAAATGGAGAAGGACGGATAAAGTTGGAGACAAACTTTATTCTAGAGAGCTAGAAGAGAAAGTTAGAGAAAACAAAGGAAAATAGGAAGAAAATCAAACGGAATTCAAATTCATCAATTTGGACTTAAGAATTGAACACATAGGTGATTTAGAAAACCATAAATGAGGTGTTCAATTTAAACTAATGTCATTAAGCTACAATTACGATGAAAATTCTCTTTCTAGGAGGCTAAGCAAGGTTAGTTCATTCACCCAAAAAAAAAAAAGCAAGGTTAGTTTGAGTTAAACTTGGATAGCTAAGCTAATGAAACAACTGGTGGCATAAGCTAATTAGTTTCTAGAACCAAATAGAGAAGGATGGAGAACGACGGAGAAAGTTAGAGAGAAACTTTCTTCTTGGGAGGTTAAGAGAAAGTTAGAGAAAGGAGGGAGAAATAGCAAGAAAATCAAAGGGAATTAAAATTATTGTGTTAATTTTTTGTAAACAAAATCTAAAAATTAAAAACTTACATATCGACATAGATTGACTTCGTTCATATCAAATGTCACGTTCAATGATCTCTTCAAATTGTTTTGATGCAATTTTTGCCATAGATCTATGACAATATTAAACTACAAAAAATAAGATAGAATTGACCGAAAATGAAGTACGTAACTTTAGTTATACATATAGACCTATAAGTAGATTACCTTGTAACAATGTTGCACATATATTTGTATACTTTCAATTTTTGTATCATTCGTTGCCTATAAAACTGAGGAAAAATATCTTACAGTCATGTAAGTTGATTGTTTGACAAATTTATAAAATCTAAAATTAATTTGTAAATTCACAAATATGAATATATGGAGCGTAGTAGTAAAGTTTATAAGACTTGATCTTTTACCACATATATGTCCATATTGTCTTTGCTGCATATACTTGCTCTATCAGATATGATAGGATTTCTATAAAAAGATTACAATAACTATTAGCAAATGTAAAATATTGAAATTATTCATATAAAATGCCACAAACACATTATCATACCGATGTTGTCGTTGCCTCAAAAGCTCTCGCACAATTAATTTTCCCAATTGTTTTTTATCAACTTTAATAGAGACCTTCCATCCAAGACTGTACATGGAGAACTGTTTGACCTACATTAATTTAAAAGGTATAGTCAAACTCAAAATATATGCGAATATTGTCAGATTAAATAGAAAAAATTTTACAAACATTATTTTTTGAACATAAGTGAAGCCAATACCTGATTTTTAACTTCCTTATCTGCAACCATATTTGCTTCCTCTTGATAATTCTCCCACAGCTGAAGTAGCTTTATTTTTTCAAGTGTTTCTACGATCAATAATTATATGAAGATATATTATAAGTATATTAATTGTAGATTTTAAGAAATGACATAATATAAGCTGAATAAGAACATATTTAGTACATACCTCATGTATCAATAATTTGGTAACAAAACGTCTTTGTAGACTACATTGCAGGTATACACTTCTTCTTCATTATTAACTGAACCCTTTTTAACCAAGACTTTCGTTGTTTGATCTGACACCCCTCGAGATAAAGCAACATATAGTTGCCCATGACTAAATACATGATCCGGAAGGTAAATTCCCACATGTGGAATTGTTTGACCTTGTGATTTATTTATTGTCAAAGCAAAACTAAGGCGAACTGGAAATTGTGTGCGAGTCATTTCAAATGAAAGTTTTAAGTTTTTCCGGAGCCTTTAATGGAATGCAATGTAGGAAAACTCTCGTGCCTTTGAAATGTCCTGTTAAAATCTCTGAATCTATGAAATTATCGTTCAAAGCTCGACACAGTAGCCTTGTGCCATTGCACAAACCAAAAGAAGGGTCAAGATTCCTCAAAAGCATAATTGGGGCTCCAACTTTCAAATGCAATGCATGTGGGGGCATTCCTCCTAGTGAAATGGAATTTAAAAACTCTTGTTGATACAAATTTTGGGTATCATTTTCAACTTTATCAAATGAGTGGTACACTCTTGATTCTCCTAGAAATCTCTGAATGATTTTCTCATTGAGCTTGTCGATATCTTCATTGTGAGGAGTTATTATGCCCCTACTAGCCATATACTCGGCGTCAAAAGAATGGTTTATGATATCAGGATAAATTTTTTCTAATAGTTGAATTATTGATTCTTCGTCATTCCATGGTATTGCCATCGATGTTGGTACTTTGATCATTTCATCTATAATGGTAGGTTGTACACCATTTCCAACAGATAAAAGAAATTCACCAAACTGTTGGTCATTTATAGAGCGCATGTTTTGCTTTAAACGAAGCATTTGAATGTAACTCCAAAGAGGTGATTTGACTATCGATGCAGCAATAGTTTCAACTTTTGTACCTTTAGGAACAACTGGAAGTACTTGTCGAAAATCACCACCAAACACCATAATTTTGCCACCAAATGGATAATCAACACCAGTGATGTCTATGAGTGTTCGATTCAAGGTTTCAAAAGCATAACGATTTGTCAATGTAGCTTCATCCAAAATGATGACTGTTGCACGTCTAATCAATTCTGCCAAATCTGATTGTTTAGTAATGGAACACATGGACGAAGCCTCTGGATTTAAGGGGATCTTGAACCTTGAATGGGCTGTCTTTCCACCAGGTAAACGTGTAGCTGCAATTCCAGAAGTTGCTGTTGCAATGGCAATTCTCCCTTGACTTCTCACTGAGGCTAATAGTGCACGATATAAATATGTCTTTCCAGTTCCTCCTGGGCCATCCACAAAGAAGATTGCACCAGTATTGCATTCCACAGCCTCCATGATTGAATTGAATGCTAAGTGTTGATCACTATTTAATGTGGCAATAGAATTTAAGTCTTCTCGAGGAGTTACAATGGAAAACTCATCTTGTATGACCTTTGGAACTGTTGAATTATCATCCAAATTCATTGTCATCGCAGGCAAATCGTATTCTGATATGTTCTTATTATGCTGTAGTAGGAGACGGTTTATATCTTGCAGGGTTTTGTTAATGATATACATATTATTCATACTGTTTGAAGATATGTAATCTTCAATCAAGTAAGGATAAATTTCATCCCACAAACTTCGCATCCCTGTTGGCACACAGTAAACCAAAATTGTAACTAACAATCTCCTTAAAGCTGATGGCATGTCCATGGTTGCAGCTTCTAACAAACATTGTCGTATGCTATCATCATGCTCTAACAAACCATGATGTTCAACTGCTTGTTTAAAAGTTGGGTACACAATTCCGTTAACCATTAACAAATGATCGAATGATTTTGGTCCTCGGATATGATTGAGTAAAATTCTCAAGTAAAATCTCTCTCCTTCTGATGGCGAAACTGTGTAAATTCTACCAATTACTCTTTGATGGTTCAATCTCAACTGCCAAATCTTTGCGCTATTGCACCATCTATAGTGTTGCGATATCTCTCGATATAAGTATCGATTTGCAGTTTCATCATCAACATTTAATTGAAAGAATTGGGTAAGCATTGTTCTGGAATAATACTCATCGCCTAAAACATTTGTGATGTCTTGGAATGTATAAAACCTCACTTGCTGCTTATTTGGTAAGTGTATTTGGAAGCGTTCTACGCTATGAGTCATTTTGGTCATTGAGAATTTGAATATTTTCCACAATGCTTCTGGAGCACAAACCCATCTTCCATCTATGAACTGTTGTACTTCGTCATAATTAGGACCTTGACGAACTTCTAGTGCAACACGGTCAGGCCCTTTATAAACATATTTGTATAAATACTTCACACTTGTAACACTACTGCAAATTTCAAGATTGATATGACAATCATATTTCAAGAGCAACCATGGGTTGTATGGAATGACCCAACTATTATCCACCAAGACGCTTGGATTACTCTCTACAGGAACTGACTCCCCTTCTCTTCTTCGATAAATAGGATATGAATCGTTTCCAAGTGTAGTAATTGAAGAAAATGGCTTTGGGAAATGTTTTTTGCACCGACCATTTTCCATACACGGGGATCGTTCATTGTACATTCCACATGGGCCATGTATCATGTGTTTCAAAACTACACTGTATAATCTAGGCTCTAATCTCTTGTCTGGAATTTCAGCTCTGACAATGTTATCATAATCATCAGGAGTGCGTAACTTACCATTTTCATCCAAAATAATGACAATGTGGGCATGTGGTAAGCCTCTTTTCTGGTACTCAATAACATATGCATATGCCAGAACCTTTCCGAGTACATGTTTTGTAAGAATGTCGGTCTTTATCTCATCAAATTTTGAATGAAATAGTCTTGTTAGCAAATCAGGACGATCATGTGGTGACTGTCCAGGTAGCAACTCAGCTTTAATTTCAGGCCAATTTGGATTGCAGGTCATCGTAAGGAAAAGATCAGGTTTTCCATACTTTTGGACCAGAGCCATTGCATCTTGATATCGTTGATACATGTCTCGTGGGCTACCAACAAATGACGATGGCAATATTGTTCTACGACCAACATTACCTAAACAAATATTTCACAAAAGGAAAAAAGAAATTATATGTATGAATATAAACAAACATGCGTACATGTAATTGTAATATCGTACGTGACAATTTGTACCTCTATAATTTTCGCCAGCATGTATTGCATCTAGAAGACCTTGATAAAAATCTGCTCAAATGTGATTCTGATGAGTACGTATCCATCTTAATTTGTTGGACTCAATCTTCACGTAATTATCTACAACATACTGCTGTAAGAGACGACCTCCTCGAAGAAAAAGAGATTGATCACCAAGGCGAATCTAAATTGATAGTATTTCAATACTTATAAATAATTAAAAATAAAGATTTTATACAAAATAATTATAGATTGAATAACTTTGACGAAGTAATTTTTTAATATTATGTATACGTCGTTACCTGTAGCATATAAGAATAGAAATCACAACATGTTACTTTTTTGCCATCATTACTTATGGTATTTACATCCCATCAATATGAACCGTAGGGTAACAACAGAGGATACTGTAATGGATCATAGTATCCGACAATATCAGAAATATTTAGGAGGTGACCACTGATTGATTGGACAATGATATCTCTTGATTTTAAATTTCCAGCTTCTTCGCCACCTACTAAAACTGCAGCAACTTCAGGAGTAGTAGGAAGGTTGTATTGGGGCCTATTACGTGGTTGCTCTTTGATTTGAAGTCTGCATTCATGCATGTCTGGACGCTGAGCCAATTGGCGAAACGTGTGTACAAATGGATTATGAGTGTTTAAAATATTCTTTATCTTGTCAAGCAAGTCCAAGTGCAATTCTTCATTTTCAGACATTCGATTCTCATTCTCATGGTCAGTGTCATAAACATACAGTTGCAAATATCTCGGTCTGTCGCTAAAATTTGGTAAGAGACTCCCAATCTTATGATATATGGCTCATTGTGCACGAAACGTGTACACACCTCGAGTTCTTGTTGCTAAGTTTTCATCAACATGAACACCCATTGAAGTGAATGAGAAAACATGATTGTAGGCTCGAATATTTTGTCTGAAATGACGACCTTCCACTGTTTGGTCAGAGAAAATATCAATCATCTCATTTGGAGCTGTTACTGGTGGCAAAATAATTGTTCCATTATTCCAACACATGGTAGATGTTTCACGGTGGAACAATCTTGCGTTGTAATGTCTACATGTAGTTGGAGCAGGGAATTGCATTCTTTGGAACCTTTCACTTTCATGAAAATTTCTTGCACAATTATGATATCTCCTATGGATAAATGATCGATTATTTGGAATATCTTCATCACTCAAAACATCCTGATTGTGGTCGACGTGAGGGATATTTCCTACAACAATACATGTATGATGTATGGGTTTATTATTAACACAATAGTATTTATTTGAAAGTGTTTGAGTTTCATGTTGAATATTAAATGTAATTGTACTGCATATCATATTTGCATGATCATATTTTTTACATTTATTGTAAAGGTTGTTTATTTTATAAAAGTACTTAAACTAAATAAATTATTTGTACCTTCTATCTGAACTTCGCGAAGATCTTGTCTGTTGCCACTTGTGCTTCTATGCTCATACGTCGAATGAGTAGGTGCATATCGGGGTAAGTCGATACGTGCGAATGCAGTCATTCTACTTTCCCGTCTAAAAACATTAGTCGCAACCAAATTGCCTTCTTCGTGAATGGTTGGCAAAACTGTTGCTCGCGGCCTACGCCATCCTGTTCTATTTCTTCTTGGGATTGCATCGAAAAAGTTTAACATGCATCCTAGCAGTTAAAATTATAAATAATAAATTAAATGAATATTAATGTCAAAAGTGTAAAAGCTTACAAAAAAAAAATGTTTATAACATTTGAATACTTACTACTTGTTTGTGCATTCGTCATATTATGTACTTGATTTGGATGAGAAGTTTGTTCGATATTTTCAGATATTTGCCTTCTTTGTCGATAATTTATTCGTCGCCTTGCAAGTTGTTGTTCACGTTGTTCAATAGTCAAAGCAGCCCTTCTTTGTCTAGCATAATTACGCCAACTTTCCCTTTGAATTTCTCTTTGTTGCACATTAGAGGTCGCACTTTCTTTGAGAATAAACAATCTTCGCCTGCGCTGAGCAAGACGACGTTGCTCCAATCTTGCTGAGCGTTGTTTAGTGCTTAAGTTTTGAAGGCGTAACTGTTCGAATTCTCTTTGTGGTTGTTCGGTTTGAGCATTTGGTTCTGAAGCTGAGCGTTGCCTCCTCTGTTGTAGGTATAAACGACGTCGTTCACGATTTTGTTGTTGTACATGTCTCAAATTTGATGTGTCAGGGTAATCGTGATTCATTTTTCCTAAGATTGTAAGCAAACTAACACGTACGTAGATGAAATCCGGCTATCTTTAAAATGTGCCTACATTATATAAAATTATGTAAGAGGCAGTTATAGTATATTCACAATGCGACTCGTATACTCACAATATAATAAGCTTTATATTTTTATGTAAGTGTTTTCATATGTTTGTTTTTATATTTTTATAATGCATATTATTTTAAGTACTAATATCATTTTGTGGAGAATTAAATAAAATTGCAAGTAAAAGAGATTACCTAGTAATGATGAGCCAAAGCGTGTGCAACTAGAGATATGATTTAAAAACAAACTGAATATAAATTTTTCAAACATTCGATTAAATATAAAAATAAATAAAAAATAGAATTAAAAATACTTACAGTCAAAAGAGAAGTAGAAGATAAGTATTAATAAAACACGACTGTAGAAGTTATTTGTTCTGACGATCACAAACTCATTACGTAATAAATATAAAAAAATCATATGAAATTTTGGGACCACTGAATTCTTTCTTGTCAAAAAAATACACTTCAAAACAAACATATGAATAAACAAAGGGTTTTTTTAGAAAAGTTACAATAAAAAAGATTAGACACCTACAACTTTCTTTGAATTTTGGCCACCCATGGTTTTTTCCAAATTTCATGAGATTTGGCCAAACTTTCATGAATTTTAACTAAAAAATTATACAACAAAAATTCATACAAATAAATATTAAAAAAATTACATATAAATAAAAATAAAAATAAAGATTGAATAAAAAAATTACATATTTGATTTTTTCAAGCATAGAAAAAGAAGGTATATATTTGAAGCCATTACAAACTGAAGCAATAGAACACTTACCGTCAAAGCAATTAGATGTCGATAGAGAATAATCTGAAAATTTTATTCTGAACAACACAAAGTTATAAACCAACCTTCTGAATCAATAAACGAAGGAAAATAATAGTCAGTTTTTCTCTCCAACAAATCGATTAACATATATTTTTTTTCTTTTACTTTTTAATGAAGAAAATAAAAAGTGTAAGTAATAATGGTACACACAAAATAACAAAACAGGAACCCATATTCTTGGAACACTTGCAATAAAAAATAAATAATAAACCCCCCAAAAAAAAGGACTTATTTTTTTTTAATTTTTTTGAAATAAAACAATTTTTATGAACATTGAATTGTTTTTAAGAAAAACACACACACAAAAATTAAGCAATCAAACAACCTAATTTTTTGAAAACATAAATTGTAAACACACAAATACAAATGTTGATATCAAAATTCAGACCCCTCTCTGAAACCATATTTGACCCCTCTTGGTAGCATGAGACCAAAGAATATGCTCCATATTGTCATAAATCTAAATTGATAACGACTTGCATAAAATCTCCGGTATCATGTTACCAAAATTCTTTCATCTTCACCTCTCTCTCTCTATTTACTATAAAATCTTCCATTTTATTTGTTCACTGATTTATTTATTTTTTGTTGGGAGAAATACTATTCAAGAACATTGCAATCTTATGATTCTCTTTATTCGAAATATATATCTACTGCTTATCCTACAATGTAGGTGTTGTATTGTTAATTATATTTTTATTTTCTTCAATAAAAAGTTTCATTATGTAATTAGGTTCTGTGGAGAAAAAAATATATTGATTCAGAACACTATTATGTATTTTGTTTCTTCATTAAAAACTTTCATTGTGTGTGTTTTTGGAGGAAAAAAAAAAATCAATGCTCATAATTTTCTGCGTGTCTGTTTTTGAAAAAAAAGCGGTATTTTCTATATTTTCATTAAATTAATTTATAGGTTCTTAATTTTTAGGGTTTTAATTAAACAGTTTGACACGTATGTGCAATTTTTTAGAGACTTAAATAGTTTTGGATTTTTTCCTCTTTCACTTTTTAAGCTATTGTTTCTTTTTGTGTATAAATTCAACTTTTTTATAATTTCTTTTGTTTGTTTGTTTACTTTTGTGAGAACACTATTATGTATTTTTTTTATTCATTAAAAAGTTTCATTGTGTGTGTTTTGAAAAAAAAATAAAAAAATTCAGTGTTCTTAATTTTGTGTGTGTGCATTTTTGGTGGAAAAAAAAAAGCAGTGTTTTTTGTATTTTCATTAAATAATTTTTAGGTTCTTAATTCATATTTATGCAAGCTTCTTTGAATAATTTGGCACCATGACGTAGTGTAAAAGAGACCCAGTAATCAAAGAAACACAAACATAAAGTCAACCTAGACAACACAAATTCAAATACATTATTTAGGATATATAGTTGATATACTCACAGATCAACAAATCATAGATAAAACCACAAAAAACATAGTTAATTAAAATTAGAAAATTTAAAAGAGGTGGTGTTGCTTCTTTCCTCGTACAGTTGAAAACAATCATATGAAAAAACAAAGGTTTTTTTGTAAGAATAGTTACAAATAAAGAAAATGGCACAAAAGATGATATCTATACAAATCCAAACAATTTGACTAAACCCAAAGAACTTGCAAACATTAAGTCCAGCTAAAATGACCCTATGTTGTTTCAAGATTGAAAATTTAAATATGCCAAACAATAATAACCTTTTCCTTCAACATAGAATTGAAATCAGAACAAAATCATTTAAAACAAATAAACTGACCAAAACCCAAAATTCTTAACTTATTACACACCACTGAATGATTTTTAATTTTTATTTTTATACTGATCATTCATATAAACTTATTGATCATTCTTAACTTATTAATAACTTTTGGTGTCCTCCTTGTCTATCTATTGTATGTTCTATTATTTTTATTTGGATTTCTTATTTGGGTTTTTCTTTATTCTTAAATTTGTGTGTGTGTGTTTTTGTGGAAATATATATAGATATATATGTATATATATAAAAATTGAGAGAAAGAATTGGACAAAACAATGAAGAATTGATTCATCACAATTGATATATCATAATTAAAAATAAAAATAAAAAGAAAATTAGAGAGAGAAACTTTGGGCGAAAATAAAGCATACTCAACTCTATATTGGGGGGGGGGAACTCTACAATAATCCATCAATAAGTCTAAAATACTTACAGTAAAAGTAGATAAGTGTAGATAGAGAATGACCTGATAAGTTGTTTATTCTGGAAAACACAAACTCATAAAGCAACCTGCAAAAAAATTTACATTATTACACGAAAAGATACAACGCAAAATAATGTTTGATTTAGTTGGAATATTTAGTATTACAGAAAGTATAATTAACAATATTACAAAAAAAAAAAATACAAAAATACATATCTGCAGGACCCTGAATTATGGGAAAAAGCCCCTACAAGCCCAAAAGTTTTTAAAAAATGAATTATGGGAGGTTGCTACTAAAAAAAACACATAAGAGAAACAAAAAATAATACAACATGGGCAAGGAGGTTGGTTTACTTAATTAACATATCCTCTTGGATCATGATAGATCTCCACACTTGTGCCAAACCAAAAAATTGAAT